TGTTAGTAGACGTGTTAAGGGTGATCGTCGCATGGGGCAAAAGTGATAGGGAATGGGTCGTCACACAAGACAAGCGAAGAAGCAAGGGATTCGGGGTCATGAATTCGTGGATCTGTAATTCGGCAACAGAGTAGAAAAAGTCGCTGATGCATCCCTAAAAATGAACAGGGGATAAAAAAAGAGGTTTAGTACCGTAAGATACAAATGAAGTGAATATGTTTCGAACCAGCGCGGAAGCAACGCGTCGCGAGTTTGATCTCCAAGCCGCCCTGTCATCTACAGTAGAAGAATTGAAACCCCTCAACACTCTCATAACATGTGCTGTAATTTGCTTATGCAAGATCGCAGCACCAGATACCCTCGTAGTTCTTGCATCCGATCTTGGAGTAGTTGTCGGAAGTGAGGATCTCAGCGTGGCCGGTCTGGCCCTCGTAGCTCCAGCCCTTGGACATGGTGCTGCAGACGCCGTCAAGACCGGGGAGAGTGGGGATCTCGCAGAGCCAGCCACCGACGAAGACGGAGAGGAAGGACTCCATGTCGGGCTTGCCGGGGGCGAGGACCTGGCCGTAGGTTCCAGGGTTGAGCTTGTGCTTCATGACACCGTTGCCCTCAACGACAACGTTCATGGCGTTGGACTCGAGCTTGGAGTCACACTCGAGAGGCTTCATGCCCATCTTGGCGCGCCACTCAGAGACAATGTCCATGTAGCCACCGGTGGTAGCAGTGGCAGAGGGAGCAGGGGCAGCCTCAGTGGTGGTTGGCTTGGGGGCCTCGCTGGAAGGAGCAGGAGGAGCAGCCTCGTAGCTAGTGGGCTTAGGGGCAGGGGTGTAGGCAGCCTCAGTGGTGGTGGGCTTGGGGGCCTCGCTGGTGGGCGCTGGGGGAGGAGGAGCTACGTAGACAGCAGAGCTGCTGGGCTTAGCTGGCGCGTAGACCATGGTGTTCTTGGCTGGGGCCTCGTAGACAGCGCTGACGGAGGTAGGCTTGGGGACTTCGTAGCCCTCGGTGACGTAGACAGTCTTGACGACAGTTGCGACGACATCGACAACGTGCTTGACGTGCTTGTGCTCGTGGCCGTATCCACCGTAGGATGGGGCGGCGAGCGCAGAGCCCGCGAGGGCGGCGACGGAGAGAGCGATGGTGGTGCGCATTTTGATAGATATTGGTTTGGATTTGGTGATTGAAGAGACTGGACTTGAGTTGACTGGTAAGGTTCGACTGTCGAATTGTTTTTTGTTTAGGGATGCGAAGTGAGCGTGTTAGTGCCGAAGGGCGGTAGAGAACGTGGTGTCAAAGATTGACGGTGTAGAGAGTGAATGACTGGATGTCGATACCTGGAAGTCGCAGACCTGGGGTAGAAGAGGAAGGCAGAGGGGATAAACTACATTTATACGAAGTAACGCTAAGTAGGAAACGGGCGTTGTGCAGCTGACATGGGCCAGGAAATTAAACGCGAGCGCCATTACACGTCCGCCCACGGCGCCCCGTCCTCCGCAGATTTACCTGTGCCTGGAGCTAGAGCCTCTGAAGCCAATTCTCGTCCCGACCAAGCCCTTGGTAGACCGCTCGGATCCTTTCATTTCGTTCCTTGCACATCGACCGTCACCGTAGGCCAGGGTTTTGGAGTCCGAGAGGCCTACACATATGCATTGGCTGGGGGGTGGGGAATGCGATGTCTACGTCTGCCGCTATCCTCCGTTCAAACTCTTTGTGCTTCAATCTCATCTCGCGCGGCAAACAATGTTCCTTTGTGCCTGGTTTGTTTGTCGACGTCGAGCACTCTGGCGCTTCGATGCGGATTTGGTTGGTACGGTCCAGACGTGACAAGTGTCAGGGGTAACCACAGACGATCATTGGGCTTGCGCAGGGGACAGGTCATCAAACGCCCACTTCGGAAAATTAAGCGGAGGGCTAACTTGAGAGCGGCAAAACATAGAGATATCTCAAAGTGCGCGCTTGTCCTATTGGCTGTTATCGTCGTTCGGACAGGGCACCGTTTCAGATGTTTTTCTTAGTCTGTGGGACATTTTGGGCAGACCCGGCCCTGGAGCAAACCTTTTGTGAACGTAGCTGCACAAACTTCAGCCCGCCGTAGTTTCAGCCCAGGTGCCGCACAGCACCTGCTTGATCCGTTCCTTCGTACCGCAGACGGCGATTTCGTCTTCGTGTCCGTGCGGTAATCATCGCTGTATGATTCAAGAGTCGAGACTCTGTAAGGCGGTTCGTACAAGTGGAGCCTTGGAAGGATTTCTCAACGGGAGAGCCTCATCGTGAAACGGCGAATCGAGGGATATTTGGAGATCCCGTTTGTGTCGCGCCAGCGCGATGAGTGAGGCAGAGGGGAAGCCTGCATTCTTCCCGCCATCGCGACATCCTTCCGCTGCTGCAGTCGATCGTGTAACGGTCAGAGTCAGCGCCTCGTGACACTCTCGCTCCACTTCACCTCTGGCGTCACCATCGATCTTCCGCGTGGATGCCGTGGATGCTCGCCACGTGTTAGCGCACTTGACAACGAGTGACCGAGATCTGTCGACGTGGATCCGACACCGCAAGGTACAGCGAGTCCGAAGACGGTGCCTGAGCCGCGCACCAGGTAATCACCAATGTGCCGAAATGTGATGAGATGGAAATTCAACGTCATCTCTCGACCTCAGGCATGCGACACCGCTGGGATGTCGTAAGATTAATCGTGGTAGTAATGAGGGGTCGTGGCAGGGAGTCCCAGTGCTGTTTAATCTTCGTCCCGCTGTGGCACCAGATCGTTTCTTTGAACCTCATCTCACTCAAGATGAAGCACCGAGTGCCTGCCGTGCCTCAGGCTTCCAGAAGAAGTGAAACGTGAGGGTTTGGTCTGGATGCGCTCGAGGTTTGTCATGTCGTGTCGAAATGTGCCCGGCGGCAAGTACATGTCTTGCGTGGCCACATAGCAATCTCGCGGAGTCGGCTCACTTCCTGTTTGCTGATTGCTACCGCAGACCCACACCATCTGCAGCGTCTGTTATACCCGACCCGCCCGCCATCAAGTTTTCATGACCAACGGCTGAAGTGCGGTAGGTCGTTTCTTTTCGGCTCTCAACCGCATGCTAGTTTGCGGAACTCTTCAACCACACCTCAAACTACCTCAGTAGTCTGCCGCGACGCCCTTCAACAACACTGCTGATAGGCTGAGATCTAGCGAGGTGTTCTCTCGCGCGTATGCACGATGCTGACGCATGCGTCGGTGATCATCGAACTCCTTCTTCGTACCTGAAACGTGGAGATAATGTTCCTATCGATTAGATAGCTGGCCGCGTGGCGCGAGCTTGTCGATTCGACTGAGCGGAAGCAGAGTCCGCGGCCGCAGTCTATCGGAACTTCCTCGTGGCTTCTGTCAACTGGGGCCGGCCGTTGGAGCAGGATTCTTTAGTTCGGTGCCGTTGTAACCGTCAGGTACCATCGCGCCGACTCTCACATGCAGCCCGTAGCCCCGATGGCAGACTGCATCAACCATGAAAAACCTGCAGTAGCTTAGAACAGGCACGTGAAAACTTCTTCCCACCATCTGTCTGGGCTGTCTTAGTGTTTGACAGCCACTGGTCGGCGGTTCGGTAGTTTGCAGGACAGTCACGACGTCATCTGACAGCTCCTTCACCTTGCTCATGCTTCTCTGCCAAGTGGGAAGTTGGCAAGAGGACCATATGACTGGTGAGGCAGAAGTATACGGCACAGATAACGAAGAAGAAAAGGCGATGAGTCTCCTTTGGATGAGTGATGATTTGGCACTGCAAGTCAGCCCTCGCCTCAGAAGCGTAGGCGATGCCCAATCCAGTTGGCGGCTCGGCAAGAACCATAAAGAATGTTCACTGCGTCCTTCACAGCCTGCCCGAGTGACGAATGACACTGAACCTGATGCGCCGTAGCATCGAGCTCGAAACACTGGGTGTTTATGTCGAAAATCGCAGGCGGCTTCACACGAACACCTCCGGATGGCCTCTACTTCCAAGGTTGGGTGTATCGCTTTCTGCTTCTTCCATGCAGGTAGTAACTCGATGACCGATCACTCAACCGTCATCGACCTACTTCACAATCCTACACTAACACCTAGGCACACTCTAGTCTATGTCACTACTAGCGGTCGGCTTCGAGGCCTTGCTGTCTAGTAATTAGCCGATGACCGATTGGTGCGCATATGTTGTACCTTGCAGTCACATCGACTATTCTAAGCTCTACCAAATCCGTCCATATGACTGCATGTTGGCGTAGATGCGAGATAACAGCAAAAGCCATTGATAGCAATTATGCGTGTAAGCAAAGCCACGATGCATTCTGACGGGCATTTGCGAAGGGTGAACCTTGGAGTAGGGCAGCCTTTCGCGACACCAAAAGCCTTGGAGCTTACACCAAGCACCTATCTCAAAGGAACCGCTAAGGAAAAAGCAAAGACCGAAACTGTGTTCTATTCGAGCCTAGACATCTCCTTACATCATTTCTAGGGCGCTGAGCTATGCGCCGCCCAATTAGGCAATCCGACCAACCAGAACCCATACCCCCGTCTCCACAGACAGCGTTGAAAACACACAGCAAAGCGAAAAATCTGCAGTTACCGCCGGAAGACTCGGGAGGGCTTTCGTTCTGCCCTGAATGTCTCAGTGTATGATTGGTGTACCTGTGTAGGCCTGTTGCGCTTGGGAGGCCATCCTTTGTTCGGTAACCTACGTTGCAGTCAGACTGAGCTGGACTACGCTGTGGGGCCCACTCCGTAACCCTACGCTCATAAAGTCAACGTCCACGCTCTTTTTTGTGATTCTTGAACTACACACTCTCTTTGTCACATCACAGCGAGGCTTCGACAGCTTCATCACATTCCTTCCAAAACTTCCCTCTCTTGTTCAATTGACGGTCTGGACCTACACTCTTTCTTCCTCAATCAACACACGGTCTCTTTAAAAGCAGCTTCGCCACGCTCCTGTGTCGTCATCATACATTATCACAAATCTTTGTTACAGACCCTCTCAACGAACACTATGCTTTCCAAGCTTACCTTTGCCATCGTGGCACTTCAAGCCAGCCTTGCCCTAGCTGGCAAAGCCGTCATCGCCAACCGCTGCGACTACGACATCTGGGTCTGGTCAATCTCTACTGGCCATGCCTCCTCATCCTTCATGGTCCCTGCAGGAAGCACCCACAGCGAGGCCTACACTGGAACTAGCACTTCCCTCAAAGTCAGCAAGTCCGACGCTTTGGTTGCTGGCAAGCACACACAGTTTGAGTACTCCATCGCGGCTGGCCAGCTCTGGTACGACATCTCCTTTGTCGATTGTGCCAATGGCGAGTCTGCGTCCAACTGCCCTGGACATGACGAAGGCCTGGCCATGAACGCCAACAACGACAGCTGCGGCCAGATCGACTGCCCCGCTGGAGACTACTGCCCTACGCAGGCCTACTACGTCGACACGCCTCTGCAAAAGCTGGGTATCGCCGAGCCAGTTTTCATGTGCCCCCTGTCTCTGGGCACCAGCGTTGATCTGTCCATGACAGTCTGCTCTGGAAACCCCAAGATCAAGAGGAGCATCGCTGGCCGTATCCAGATTGATGGCGAGGCTTAGAGAGTCTCGGTGCGCATTTGCGATTACTTCTCCAGCTCTCTTACCATTACTTCTTTCGTTCTTTATACATACACTAGGGTGGATTACGGTTGGGATATACCTGGGTTACGATTTGGTTACGATTTTGGATGATTCAATGAAACGTTATGCTTTTCCAACTCTTGAATTCGTGCGCTGTTACCGATTGTGACTACGTAGGCACCCTGTCGGTCCTCTGACCAAAGCCTGTCGCCATACTACTCGGCGTGATGGAAGGAATTCGGCGTTGCTGAGACGCTGTCGCAATCGTGGCAGGCTTACGTCGCACGACACGAGGTGCGGTTTTGGCCGGATTCTGCCAGGTGGTGCGTTGCCTCTAGGCCATCGCCATTTGGGTAAGCGCATCCCAAAGTCTGTTAGCGCGGAGCACACGTCATCCTGACCACGTCCTCCTGTGCAGTCACACCGATACTCCAAGCATGCGAAGGATAAAAATGCACAGAGCAGCTATACTGACGAGTGTAGCGAGGTATGAAGTTAGGGGAGAACGGAATGTCTGTCCCGCCGTGGATCTGCAGTACGCGCCGCCCGGCGACGGACCCGCATGTTTGGGTGTGGAGGAAGACTGGTACCCATGCGCTTCGCCAAACATCCCTAGACTCGGTCTGCCACTCAACTCCAGAAGATGATCTTGCAGTACAGTACCTGATACACCCGCGCAGCCCTGTGCGACTCGTCTGCGCTTAGTCGACGATCCATTCCGAGCTACCCCACACCTGTCCCGAGCGGGTAGATCTATCCGAATTCGTCTTCATCATACAATTGCTTACTATTCAGACGACAAAGGAGGCTGTACAAAATCAACGGGTGAATTCTTCCGGCACCCACCTGACATCTAGAGTCAACAGCAGGTATTGCGGGGTGTACTCTACTCAGCTGGGATCGAGTAATCATGTCGTGAATCTACTCAAGTGACTGTGGGGTGGGGAAGCCTTGTGTGAGGGGTTGCCGCGGCTAGATCAACATGGTTGTTCTTCAAGTCCTACTATACGACTGTCCATTCCTCGAATCTCCTGGGTAATCCAGAAGCTTGGTTTAGAACCACAACATCTCACTTTGACCGAATATAAGCATAATGACAACTCAAGGACCCATCGCTGCAGCTCCGATAGCTGAGGTACCTCTCCCAGACCAAGATGTTGCCAAGTCAACTGTCGACATCAAGACTGGAGAGTTAGCTCACGAGAACGACTTGACCTTTGATCCGGCAGCACTCCAAGCGAAGTATCTCCAGGAGCGTGACCGACGTTTAGCACGAAATGAAGGCGTAGAGCAATACACACTCCTTGATGGTAGCTTGGCACACTATCTAGAAGACCCATGGGTCGAGCCAGGATTCAAACGTGACCCCATCGAAGAAGAGACCGAGGTGGTGATCATCGGCGGCGGGTATGGTGCTCAGGTCTGTGCTATAAGACTAATTGAGGCTGGTATAAACGACTTCAAGATTATCGAGAAAGCAGGTGACTTTGGAGGAACATGGTGAGTCTCGCTGTTTCACATACAGGACTTGTATACTGACATCCACGCAGGTATTGGAACAGGTATCCTGGAGCGCAGTGCGATATCGAATCCTACATCTACATGCCCCTGCTCGAGGAAGTCGGATACATGCCGACAGAGAAATACGCGCGTGCCAAAGAGTTGCTTAAACATTCACGCATGATTGGCGAGAAATACGATCTCTACTCGCGTGCCTTGTTCCAGACCGAAAGCAAAGAGATGCGATGGAACGAAGAAGAGGGGAAATGGACAACTCACACGGCGCGAGGGGATAAGATAAAATCGAGATTTGTGATCCCTGCTGCTGGCCCTCTTCATCGGCCAAAATTCCCTGGCTTGAAAGGTATCGAAGATTTCAGGGGCCATTCTTTTCACTCTTCACGATGGGACTATGATTATACGGGTGGCGATTCCTCGGGTAACTTACACAAGCTAAAAGACAAGCGCGTAGCTATCATCGGTACGGGTGCGACAGCCGTTCAGATAGTGCCTCATTTGGGAGAGTGGGCAAAGAAACTTTACGTCTTCCAGCGCACCCCTTCGTCGATTGACGTTCGTGGCAATCGCCCGACTGACGAGGCATGGGTACAGTCGCTCCAGAAGGGATGGCAGAAGAAGCGCATGGACAATTTCGACAACATCGTCAATGGTGGTTACGAAGAAGTAGATATGGTATCCGATCGTTGGACAGATATCATTCGGTCCCTGTTAACCGCTGGTATCGACCCAAACAACCCGGTGGAAGCTGCAGCCAAACGCCAGATCGCTGATTTCAAGAAAATGAACGCTATCCGCGCTCGAACGGATGAGATTGTGAAGAACAAGGAGACGGCCGATGCGTTAAAGCCATGGTACAACCAATTCTGCAAGCGTCCCTGCTTCCATGACGAATACCTACCCACCTTCAATCGCCCCAACGTCGAACTCGTCGACACCAAAGGCCAAGGCGTTGGCCGCATTACTCCCAACGGCATCGTGGCAAACGGGCAAGAATACGAAATCGATTGTCTAGTGTACGCCACTGGCTTCGAACTCGCAAACGAATGGTCGCACAAGACCGGCATCGAGATCTACGGCCGCGACAACATAACCATCACTGAGAAGTGGGCCGAAGGCGCCCAAACACTTCATGCTTGGGGAACACGGAACTTCCCAAACTGCTTGTTCGTTCAGATCGTCCAAGGAGCCCTGACACCGAACTTCATGCACGTCACCAACGAACAAGCGATCCACTATGCGTACATCATATCTGAATGTAAGAAACGTGGGTTCAGGACCATAGAGCCGACAAAGGAAGCGGAGGAGGGGTGGACACAGACGATCGTTGATGGAACTGCTATTCGGGGCGATTTTCTGAAGGAGTGCACGCCAGGTTACTACAACAATGAGGGCAAGGCGAGCGAGAGTGCTAAGAGGAATGCAACCTATGGGTATGGAAGCCCGGCCTTCATCAAGATCTTGACTGAGTGGAGAGAGGAGGGAGGGATGAAGGGCGTGGATGTTACGTACGCCAAGGAGTAGGCGGTACTTGCACTCATCAGGATTTGTATACAAATCGTCCTTCTGGTTATATTCTAATACTCATCAATTCTACGCATTTATACTCAAAAATAGAAGGATCATCTCCATGAGACCACGACCATCAATATGACGACCATGATCTAGCTCTCAGAATCTGTCGCCCATTAATCGAAAGGCGAGATCACACGAGGCATGATCAGCCTGCTGGCGACGCAGGACAATTTCTGAAGTTTATCAACCTTCAAAATACAACTGATTCTCCTCATTCGACATCAAAATAGCCGTCATCCACCCCGATGGCCTGAGAGAGCGTGTGAAAAGTCAAACGGATATCGTCGTGCCGCAAGAGATACATCAAACTCTCGACGGCATGCTATTACGACTTCTTCTAAAAATCACCTCAACGGACTTGTAGTTTCGAGAGTGAGTGAGATCATTACGCATTATGGTCGCTACGCCGACCAGTATAAAGACAACCGCGATCGGTTTGGTTAAACTCTTTCATCCCCACATTCCCCAATAGTTATTCACAATAGTTCGCTCAAACAGTGCGTATGGAAGTACCCTGCTCGATACAAACTCTACCCTCGATGGAAACACCGATGTATAAGCTAGCCAGAAATGGTGTTCGGCATGCGGATGTTCTGTTACGCTTAGCTTGACTTTTTATCAACTCCCAAAATCGCTGGAGACGGACGGATTCGAGATAGCCAACCATCCAGTCCATGTGTGCCTGTTTCTCTTCTTTGGAAACGACGATGAGAACTTGCCATGTCCCGACCGCATCTTTCCCGACTTCAATCATCTTCTCCAGAAATGATAAGCAGGAAACTGACGGTGTTTTCTTCCGCACCTCTCGCCGACATAAAAGCTACCCTCCTGAGCGCTCTCATTCCTCACTTCCTCACAAACGTACTCACACTTTGCTTCAAAATCAAAACTTGGCGTACATCTTACCAAAATGGATATGGAAATGGATTATGACTGTCGCGCTCTTTTGAATCGTTGATTTGAACTGGAAGGCATCCTCTAAAATCGACGTAAAGCCCATGCTATAAGTTTTGTTTTCGAACGGTCTGGTATTGGAACCCGATGGTCGTGTATGAGCAAGTATTTCCACCAAAAAAAAAAACGATAATATCCGGCGCATGTCATTGTCTCCTCGCCCTGTCCTACTAAAAAGAGTCGACACCCTCTCTACGTCCGCCTCGGGAAAGCGGCGCGAACGGCGATGCATAAAAGAACGTCGGTTGGCTTATCAATCTTCGTCACTCTTCACACCTTTGATCGTTATATTTTCCAAAAAACATTGTCTCTATGCTCATGTGGAGAAGAATCTGCTCTCTTTCAAAAATGCAAATACTCCTGGAAGTGTCACAAGCTCTCAATCAAAATGAGCGTTTTGCAAAGAATTTTTTTGTAGTCTGAAAATACATCCACATTACCGTTTTATCTACGAAACCCGCATGGAAAGCCCAACATGAGGTGTCAATCTGTTCTACGAATAACTAGACTGTTGGCTTGATTCCCTGTGCCTCGATCAAAACTACCAACCCAGGCTTCTATGGCGATCTGTCGTTCGAGAGTGGATTAATGCGACTTGGACTGGCCACTAGCAAGATTTCTGTAGGATAATGAAAACGACGACATGCTTCATGACCGCACCATCATGACGGTGTATTAGCAAGCAACAAACGGAAAAGCTTTCGATTTGACAAGATAACATGGGGTATCATTCGTCACCAGCATCGCTTAGTACATGTGCCCGCTTCTTCCCACCATTCTCCATTTCCACAATGTAATATACACATGTCAACATCCGTCTTTTCAGAATGCTCCAACAACGGCCAACGCTCTTTTGTTTTGACACTTTTTTTTTGCCAAATTCTACAACGGTGGGCTCTCCGGTCGATCAATAGCCAGCGAAAGATAGTAGTCTGTAAGCGCATTCATCTCGTCACCGTGTGTTGTATCGAAATCGTCCTCCCTGTCCGCATGGGTTTCTTCGCCCCACGTCTCCAAAACTGGAACATCTGGCTCCATGTGATTGTTGCGCAGATGCGGCTGCGGCTGCTGAACGCACTCGTATCCGAGGACGCCAATGTCCCAGACGCCCGCACAAGCTTCGCAAACGAGGATCGTCGTAGCAGGGGCAATGGGGTTCACGGAACTGCAACGGAAGCAGGCGAAAGAGCAGCGCTCGCATAGAACGGAGTCGCTGGTATCGACGGGTGGGCGGGCTGGACGACCGCAATATACGCACTTTGACTTGCCTGGTACGATGCTTTTCGTATCGATGGCCATCCATTGTCGACGTAGCTCATCAGGAATACGGTCTGCACTTCGCCCGGAATCACCAACATCCTCGCTGGTGACTTTGTTAAGATTCTCCTTGCAGGCAGGAATATTGCACTGAGGCCCTAGCGGTGTTGTGAGACTGAGTTGGAACTGCAATGCTTGCTCACGAAGGAATGACGCGTCTACGCTTTCATCGAAGGGACCGGCGTAGTTCTGGCCCTGAACAACTTGGCGAATTGGTAAGCTTCCTACAGGTGCGGTCTGCAATTGCTGGGTTCCGAGCAAAAAATTGCCTTCCACGATACCAGATTCCGGTGCTAGGGGATTGATGTTGCCAGTCTTGTGGTCCTGGATCTCATCTTGCTCATCATCCTCGTATGGCATGTAGCATAACCTGTCTGCGTCTTTGATCGTAGTATCATCCCTGCCGATCTCGAGAATGTCGACGGAACCGTTGACTTCGCCGACTACCAGCTTGCTGTAGTCCGCACTGAATGCAGCTGACATGATACCAGAATCACACGTGATTAAGTCTTTGATAAATGTGTTCTCTTCAGCGCGTGTAACATCCCAGACCTTGACCACCCCATCCGATGAACCGGAGTAAAGCCTTGTCGCGTTGTCACCCCAAGACAAGAAACGAACGCCGGTATCTGTGATTTCATGCTTGACACCCTCCTGTAGAGGCATCAGAGACCGGCTGTGAGAGAGGATTCGGAGCGGATCATGGGGCCAACGCGCATCCCAGACGTAGGCACGTCCATCTGTACAACCAACTGCGATGAGGTCTTCGTCATGTGGGCACCAGATAAGGTCGTTCATATCTAGAGCTGCGCACTCGAATTCCAAAGGACAAGTGAACTTGTCAACTCTTACATCGTAGAGACGGACTGTCGAACGTGTGCCGCGGTTGACATTGGATCCCACTGCGACACATCCCGCTGCGAACATCGGTTTGCCAGAACGGATTGGGTTGAAGGTGACATCAAAAACATTCCTGTTAGACCCATGGATATAATAAGGAGCCTCAGTCTCGACGTCCCACAAGCATAGATCGCCGGTCATGTCAAAGCCCGTCTCCTTCATATTGGCGCCAAAACCTGCAAGCAGTTGCTCACCACATAACGGTTCGAACTGCAAAGCGGTAGGAAGAATCTTGAGATCCATGCGATCGACAGCCTTGCTTGAATGGAAACTCGATTTCTCAAACTGGCAAGGCTCTTCCTCGTTGATCCTGAGCACTCTGATTGCCTTCTGACTGGATGCCTTCGCCGCTGTTGCTATCATACCAGGCTGCGTCTGATTGACTGATAAGATATCGATCTTGTCTTTGATGTTAAGCTTAGCAGCTAGAAGAGGCTGAACAGAGTCGGCGTTGACGTCTGTTTTCCAAATACCAATATGTCCGTCGTAGCCTGACGAATACATGACGTGGCTGCTGTTCGAGAAGGCTACCGAGGTGACTGTTGTGTATAACTTCGGATCCTGTGATGCGAACATGGCGTGACTTGAGTTGGCACCGCTCTCAGTCTTCTTGCGTATCTTATAGTGCTCTGCTAGCTCGTGTATTGTACCATGCATAAGGCTTCCATAGAGTAGGTTGTTGGGTCGGTTATACTGCATAGAGTCCGGATCGTCAACAGCGACAGCACCGGCCGCAAAGTGTTCACCATCCGGTGCCCAGACTACAGTATGGATATCACTCGAGGCGCCCGTCCAACATGCTGCTGGACCCAATGTGTCCATATACTTGTTCGTCACTTGGTATGTAATAGGCTTAGACGCCGTGTGCCAGCCTCTTCTCGACTGACAACCGAGCTCTCGTTGACGTATGATAGATGTAGTCGACGATTTCTGAATCGATTGCATCTCCGTGTTCGGCCGTGCGGCTGCAAATCGTTGTACTCGCGGTATCTCTGCGATGTTGCCGGCCATGGCATCTTGCAAGAATGCTTCAATACTGCTTCGGTCTCGGCAAGGCAGGCGTGAACGAAGACTCTCAACGAGCCGGAAAATCTGTGTATCCGTGCAGTCTTTTAAGATTTCGCGAAGTCGCCTTGTTTTCGTGCTGTGCCGCGACCTTGTGTTCTTAATCAATGTCACAGTTTTCTCTACTAGCTTTATCTCAACCGGGCTGAAGTCGACATGGAGGAGGCTACCTTGCCAGTCCCGACTTGATAGCTGATCCCAATCTGAGCCGGTAGATGGGCCCTGCATCGCTAAGCGTTGCCCTGAACTCAAATATGGCACATGCGTAGCGGGAGTGCCATTCCGGCACGATTTTGTATATAGGCTCAATCCAAGTGCTGCATCATCTGTATTGAATTGTACCTCCACCGGCTTGTTGTCGACCGCGACAGCCTCATTGGGTAAAGGCGCTTCATGGTCTTGCGGTGTCTCTGAACGAGTAGGAGCAGAACCGTCCGCCATAGATCCAAGGACATCGTCGGTGTAGTCATCTACTTCATCTACGGCAACACCCCGCTGTTTCGGCCATGTGTAATTGACTCTTTGTGCACGACGCGATCGCTCTCGACGAGGCGCAGAGTCGCCTCCTGAGGAGTAATCTCGTTCTATCGTCTGTTGAACGGGTAGATGTCGGGAAGGTTTCACAGCAGGTTGACGGGGAGCAGTGAGCTGGTTGTTTCTTGGTCCTCTTGAAACACTAGTACCATGGATTTGATTCCAATCAACAGCCGCTTCTGCAGCCCACCGAGGGGGCAAGATCAAGGTAGATGGATCTTTTGACCTGTCTCTCTTGTTCAAGAAGGTGGAATAACGGGATTGCAGCGCAGAGTACTGACGTGTGGGCATATCTACGTTGTACTCGGCCGTGATTTGGGCCCACGAAAACTGCTTTACCTCCTTTAGAAAGATGAGATATTGGTCCTGTTCAGCATCGAATGGGTTGACCTGCCTCTTTCGACCAGTGGATTGTGGAGGTGTAGGTACCTCCGAACCCCTCGGAAGAGCGGATGAATGGAATGGGGCTACTGCTGGCCCAAGTCCAGGAGGGGCATTTGCAGTCTTTGCTTTCGTATCCGATGTGTGTTGCAATGCAGGTTCTTCAGGCGACGAAACATCGGACATGACACTATCTTTGTCCTCGTCAGAAGGCTGCTCGGCAGGTCCCACGGAGTAGTTCGGTCTCGCAGCTGGCGAAGGGCGATTGCGCGATGGTCCTGCAACTCTATCTGATATCACTGCACTTGTCTGCCGTGTTTCTTTGTGAGTAGCTGGGTGGCGGGGCTGTTCTCGTTGACTTGGTACATTCATGACTGGGCTCGCACTGTTACCTGCCGACTGGCGACCGATATGCAGCGTGCGTGGGGTGCTCATCCGAACGTTTTGCAGTATGGTCGCAGGCTCGGTGTTCTTCAAGGCTCGGTTGATGTCTTGTACCGACGGAGGCTTGTTGGCTGCACTGTATTCTGACATCTTGATCCTCTTGGCTGGCCTTTGGTGGTGAGTTCCGTTATGCGCATGCGCATGCCCAGGCACCGACATATAGCTATTTGGTGTCGCACCATTGCGTCGCATATTTGCTAAATTTGTCGCCGTCGACGCACTTTCGGTAGATGGCGAGTGTGGATGTGCGTATGTGAGTGGCGTTGTGGGAATAGGTGGCTGTGACGATGGAGGAGGTACGGGCAGATGTGGTGTCATGGAAGGGTCGTGCGTTCCCAAAGGCAGCGACGACAACGGGCCCTCGTCGCTTTCTTGCGTATCGTCATGGTAGGTGAGGTCGACTATGGAGGGTCGCCAGTCGCTGCCGTTGCGCTTGTTAGACATGTTACTCATGGTACGTTGTGGGAGGACATGGTAGGCTAGAAAATACGAGGGGGTCGATACCGAGAGAAGTACTCACTTCATTGCCGTCGGTCTGAGAGGCAAGCAACACGTCCATGGGATTCACCGTGATTGTCGCGTTGGGTGGTTGCGAACAACCGCGTAACCGTGGACCGCGTACCCCTGCTAGCCGTGGCTTTAGCGTCATGTGGCACCACCCCTTCACAAGAGAGCGGAAAGCTACCGTCTTTGTGACAGCAACCTCAAATAGCATAGTATGCACATCAGACAATGCAAGCTGCGATAGAATCTCTCGATTACATAGGTCATGTAACGACCCATCCTACAACATGTCGTATGTCCAGGAAATATCACACTCCCTCGCATCCACGCCCTAATAGACCTTGCTACTATCTGTACTGCCATCCACAACCTTATCTTTGTCGCCCCTGCCCTCAATATCCTGCCTGCTATCTTGCACCGCCAGCCCCGCAACAACAGTTTCCTCACCAGGCTCCGCGTCTGTCGGCACGGGCGGTCCGGAAAACTCCTTCCTGCCGCGGATGAAATACCACCCCACGCTGATTGCCGCGAAACCTGCAAACACTACACTCGCGTAGTTCATAGTAGCCGCCTCAACTGGCAGACTGACCGGCATACAGAAGAGCACAACTGCGAGGCAGATCCAGGCGATCATGGCGATGTTGATGGCGTAACCGAAACGGCCGAGCGAGTAGGACGAATGGCGTACAGCCTTACGACCGCGTAGCACGGAGATGAGAATGGGCATGCCGTAGGATGTGGAAAGACATATTGTTGCGACACCAGTGAAGGAGTTGAAAGCAGCTGAAGAGCCAAAGTAGATGAGGCCGAGGAGACAGTCGACGACTGTGGAAAGGACGAGTGCCATGAGAGGGATATCAAAGCGCTTGTCTACCTTGGCCCACAGTCGCGAACCGGGGATTGCGCCATCGCGAGCGAAGGCGTAGGTACAGCGCGAGGCTGCGGTCAATGCGCCGGTGCCAGCGAAGAAGAGAATACCGAGGATGAGGAAGAGGAGTCCGAAGCCACCGCCTGCACTGCCAGTGACAGTCTTGAAGAGCAGGCCAATAGGTTGTCCATTAGCGACATCGAGAAGCAGTTGTACGTCGGGGAGAACGAAGAGAATAGGGATCAGGTAGATGACACCCGTGACACCGGCCGCAGCGACAGAGAGAACAATGGCCTTGGGAACTTCGCGGGATGGGTTGGAAACCTCTTCACACATGGCGGCGACCATGCCGTAACCAGTCAACGTGTAAGCAGCCTGTAGGAGACCGACGAAGAAAGCCCATCCTGATGGCCTAAAACTAAAGTCAGTATAACTGGTCCAAGATTCGGTTCGAGATAGAAGGGGCAACGTACCATCCACTCTGGCTGGCATCGTAATGCGCAAACACAAACTCGGCATCCCTCTTGTTATCCGCCATACTCAACAGCACAACCATAATAACCACTACGCTGGTTGCCGTCCAGTAGATACAAATCTTGTTGATCAGATCCAGATATTTGGCTCCAAAAATGTTAACACTCATGCAAATAAGCATAACAGCCCAGAACGCAAGCACAGTCTGCCATTCATTCGGTACAAAATCCTCGTCCCAAAGCGTAATGGCGGACAGAATGAGTTGGCCACCCGAGAAATTGATCGAAAGCGTAACAGTCCAGTTTCCAACCAGAGTCAACCAACCGGTGACCCACGAGGCGATGGGCGCCCATTCGCGCGTCGAAAGCATGGCCGACCAGTAGTAAACGCCGCCAGCTGTAGGATATACTGCACAGATTTCCGCGAGCGAAGCAGCGATAGCCAGGGAGATGAGAGAAACGAGGATCCAGCCATACAGCACGGTAACGGATTGACCGTCGGTGAGCGTGATGTAAAGTGTTGTGGAAAGACCGAAAGGAACAGCCATGATGGCGAACGACATGCCGAGAATGCTCAACATGGATAGATTTCGAGGAAGCTCAGATTGGTAACCCATCTTCGCGAGGGCAGCGTCGGCGCCAGGGTCGTTGACTGATGCTCGTCTTCGAACGCCATCGTCTCCTCCTCCTTCGCTGATGGAAACACTCTTCGCCATGGTTGTCTCGCTTTCCGAACGATCAATACTGTAGTGCCAAACCCGACTCTTACTGCGCGACGAATTGCGCGGCGATAAAATGGCGAAAACAACTCCAAAGCCCGGGTGTGGCAACCGACCAGTCCAGTCCGACGTTTATAGAGGCGCAACGACCGTTGATAACAGAAGCGACGACGAACGTGTGCTATTAGGGATAAGAACACGAGAAACCCAAGATAAAAGACGACAACACGCGAGTGACCCGACAAATTCCCCGCAGCTGGCAACCGCCGGCGTCAAGCCCGTCAAAGTCTAGACTAGGGTCTTGGGAGCTGGGAAACGCGCGAAATGCGACGCTGCAATCGTTCGCTCCACACCATGAGTCGGAGCGCGCCAGAAAGATAGGCGTTTGATTCGATATAGAAATCACCAACAACATCAGACATCAAGTAAGCGCGATAAGCAACCCTTGGTGTCTGCCCACCCATCATCATTGTCCCCCATCGAACGCCTGCAGGAGTCGTGATAGCAGATTGGCGTGTACAATCGACCCTGCCAGGCGCGCATGTCACCGATCGAAGCCGCATGCGTCATCTCCGTTGTCGGGTGTGTTTGCCGGACTGGGACGGAATCGGTCGCGTGCGTTCATGTGGGGTCAAGCCTGACCAGTGCCCGACTGTCGGCAGCGCCCAGCCAGCAACAGCCCCGAGCAAAAGGCCGTTCTTCGTATCTTTTGTGGAGGGTCGAGTGGAAAGCTGGGGCCGCCCCCAGGTGGACACGTTTATCGCATCACAGTAAGTTATCACGTTTTCGAAAGATACTACGATAATGCGGCAACATGGGATAGGGTCAAGGAGAAATCTGAAATGATAATATTATAGTACAAATGTGTCCCGGAAATTGGGCTCGACTAATTGCTTAATGCTCCATCTAATGCAGGAACCAAAGTATGCCACGTCTACCTTCGTACCGAATCCTATCATGACACTATTCCAATACATGTCGTGATCTGATCCAGCTGATAACGGCAGTCATCCATCTACCTCTGCGTAACTTCCGTTCCCATGTCTTCATCATTCCTCATAACGTATCTACTTCGCCATGACATCGACATAGCGACCAGCCTTCTTCTTCTTATTTGCTGGACCCTTTCTGGCTTGAGGTGCACCCAGCAAATCATCAATACTACTGGCATTGCTCATACCAGTGCCCGGTCGTGATGGCGGTCCTGATGCAGCACCAAAGCTCGGTCTGGCTAGCACAGGTGGTTTAGGTCCAGCAGCGGAGCCTTCTTCATCAGACTCTGGGATACCGGGTGTAGAGGCACGGGAGGCAGCACCGCCCATTGGTGGTGGCATAGATGAGGAGCGAGGGTTGGATGTAGGTGGACGCAGGCCGCTGGGAGGACCCATAGGCGGGGTGGGCGCGCCGCCTGAGGCACTCCGAGCTGCGCCGCCGGGAGGGCCAGCGCGTGGAGGCGGTGGTGTTGCAGCGGGTTTACCCGTGTCTGCCGCACCGCCCTTCTTGTTTACCCACTTGCCAAGATCCGTATCGTAGTAGAAACTGCTCTCTTCTCCCAATTTAGCCTTGATAGGACCGGGAGCGGCGTTGGGATCTTTCTTAAACCACCCGGACAGCCATCCTCCCTTCTTCGCTGCCGCAGCTTCCTTGTCACGCTGAGCATCTGCTTCGGCCGCTTTGCGGAATGCCTCTTCTGCCTTCTTGTCTGCTTCTGACTTGGAGCTGCCGCCTCCGCTGATCTTCAGAGCTGAGGCGCGGGCAGCAAGATCGTCATCGTCGTCGAGATCCATGAAAGATTTCTTCTTGGTTACTTGCTTCTCTTCCTCCTTCTTGTTATCATCCTCATCATCCTCATCGGGGTTGTAAGGCTGGTATGCGGGAGGTTCGAAGGTAGTTGAGGAAGGTCCATATCGATCGTATGTTAACTCATTGTCTGTAGGCTGACTCGGCTCATCGTAGCTCGTTTGCGGCTGGTAACCACCAAACGCAGGGGCCGAGGAAGAATCTTGGACCGGGGGAGTGGGCATATAAGGACTGCCCAAGGATGGCTGGGCCGGACTGTACTCAGGACGAAGTGGAGAGTAGGATTGTGCTTTGGCTTGTGTGCGTGCACTTGGTGGACTCAGTTGGGTCTGCGTAGGGCTGTAGATATTGGATGTCGGCGTCATAGGCGTATAACTGTCGGATGCTGCTCGCATGCCATAGCTATCGTTTGACTCCATTGACGGTCGACCACCGGGCTCGTAACGAGACCGCTGCTGTTCCGAGGATGACCTTGGTGCGTATGCGTTCGGTGGTGCATACCTTGAGTTGCCTGATGCTGGCGGCTGTGCGGGCACACCATAACCAGACATTGCGCCATAAAGATCCGCATTTGAATGTGAAGGCGTAAGGGAAGGGCTATCACCGGCAATCTTAGCGAAAGGTCCAACCTCGGACCCTCCAGATTTGTTGGCCATGTTATCCTCGTCATCCCCTGCAATGAAGCTGTTGAACTTTGACAGAAGTGAGCTTCCAACCTTGTCCATACTAGGCTTTGAAATCCACGATGAAGAACCGTCCTTGGGAGACTGCGACAATCGCTTGCCCAAGTCGTCGAGACTGGCAATGAAAGCAGCGTTGTAGTAGAGAGAAGGTACTGTTGTAGCCTTCATAGCCGCTGCAATAGCGTCGCAGTATGCCTGCGCATCGGTTCTGTACCCGTTCTCGGCTAGCTGATACGCATGTGCAAGTTTATAGTTTTGCAAATGCGGCATGACGAACGAGCCGGTCGGCGATGCCAACGACATTGCGAATTCGTACACTTCAGTCAGCATTATCGGCTCCAGCTCGACACCCATCTCCAAAGGATTCAGGCGGTGATCAGCGCCGATTAGTACGAGATCAGCCTGAGGATCGTCGACTCCGCTGACCTTCAAGACCGAACGGGCAAAGATGAAGCAGACATGCGCAGCTTCAACACGACCGTATTGGACCAAAAGCCTTCCAAGCGAGAGCAGAGCTGATGCATCACCTTCACTGCGATTGTTCAGGATCAGCGCAACCGTCTCACGCCACTTGTCAAGGCCTTGCAGTGCATTCTGTGTTGCGCCAGCACCATCAGCGCTCACCATCTGGAAGCCGGCGCGAGCTGAAGCTGGGACCAGTTCGTCGATGCAGTCCTCATGGTTGCCCGCAAAGACTTCATAAAGTACAGCCAATGCTTGGTTGCTGCGTCCGGCCTTCTTGACCTCCTTTCGAACGAACTCTTGGACAACCTGCTTCCATATGTCTTTACTGAGAGTAGAGGACAACAACATGGCGTGGCCCCATAGTCGCTGGTCGACAGCGTGCCAGACAGCCTTCTCACGGTCGCCCTTGACGAGCATACTCTGCAAGTCCTCGACGGCACGGGGGTCAATAGGTTCTGCCTGGAGGTTGGAGGTGTTGGATCTTGACCGCCCGACAATATCGGCTGCTGTAGAGTATGAACCCGCTTCGTCTGATGACTCGTCACCAGCTGGTGAAAGTAGCTTCTTGACGGCAGATTCTGCTGCAGGAATACCCTCCAGTTTCCCATCATTGTCAATGAGGACCTGCATGAGTTTCCAGAGAAGGGTGCGATCTTCCACACGCTTGAGCTCGTCTTCACTCATAGTGTGTTCGAGTCCTGGCTCTTTCAACTGACTGTCTAGTGCTTCGATCTTGCGGCCTAGCCATGCTGATACGTCCTTCTTTTTGCCCTTGGCCTTAAGTGGGCCTGGGAACTTGGCGATATCTTCCGGTAGAGGGAATACCTCTTTGATGCTCTGAATACGGACCTCACCAGGGTTGCTCTTCATCATCGGCGCGGACCCGCCACCTCCATACCTAGGAATTTGCTTAGGGAAGCTCGTCACAACATTACCCCCTAGACCCCAGGTGAACACAGGATGACCCTTCCACCGTTCGAGTGGATCTGCCGAACGCTCGTCGTCAGGAACGATGAAATCGTAGGTTGTGGATGCTTGCCGGCGATGAGGAATCTTGTTGACAGCACTGGAAGCGGTAGACTGGTTACCATAGATCGCAGATGGCGTCATGCCATAAGGAGTTCCTGTGGATTCCAAGCTACCATAGCCGCGTACGGGCTGTTTCATGGTCTGTGTTGGAGATTGGGAGTGGGAGCGTTGCGGAACTGATGGCTGGGCTGGCTGATATCTCGGTGCATAGCTGTCAGTCTTACGTGGTGAGCCGACTACTGATGAAGGTGTACTTCTTAGAGGCGGAGTCTCCGATCTTCCAGATGTAGGTGGCCTTGAACTAAGCATTGGCTCTGGCTCTTGCTCTTCAATCTCACTGACCTCTCCTAGCGGGCTTCTGATAGGTGCGCGGGGCATGCCATCAGCCGATTGCGAAAGTTGATGGTTTGGAGCATATTGCGCATGATTGTCTGTAACCTGCTCCTGCTGAGGCACGCTGTGGAAGGCTAGCGGACTAGAAGTACGGGGCGCAAAAGACTGCGAGGGAGTTCGCGTTAAGTTGTTATGTGGCTCGGATTGGTAACGAGCATGCGGTGCTTGCGATGGAGCAGGCGAGTATCGCTGATTTGCCGCTGGTGCGCTGGGGGGTGCGGGAGAATATCGTGAGTTAGCGGTGGGTCCCGATGGAGGCGGCGCTGGAGAATATCTACTCGTCGAAGGGGGCGCCGGTGCCGGCTGAGGAACGGGAAGACTGTTTGTTCGTGTAGGTACCGATGGCTGACTGGGGAACATGGGTAGCTGCTCTGGTTGTCTGAACGGAGGAGGTATAGCGACTTTAGCAGCATCTGGAATGAACTCGTTCCTCAGGGACGACGTGGAAGCCGTACGCTCCTTTGATGGCAGCTGCGGGGGTGGATGGCTGATTGGAGGTGAAGGTTGGACAGGGACATTCGGCTGCGGGGTGTAGCGTCCAGACGGGCGTGGCTTGGATGTGACAGGAAGCTCAGCGAAGAAGTCACTCGAAGGTGACTTTGCTACGACGGCAGGCTTTGGTGGTGCAGCCGGTGGTGGCATGCCAGTCATCTGAGAACGCATAGAGTGGCCCGAGGATGGTGGAGACAGACTAGACACTGACATGCTCGATGCTATGGGCGGCCGTGGAGGCCCAGGAGGCGCAGTGTTGGAAGACACACTGCTGGTCCGTGGTGGTGGTGGAGTTGGCTGTACAGCTGAGACTGTCGTTCGCGGAGCAGGTCGCTTTCGGGTAGTCACAATGTCTTCTGGCAAATCATAAGGGGAAGCGTAGCCTCCTTTGGACTTGTCTACGAAACTTTGTGCTGAGCTTGCCATTGGCGGTCGAGGCGGCTGTTGCTGCTGTTGCTGTTGATATGCCATGTTTCGTCCGAAGCCATCGTAAGCTGGTGCGGCCGATGCTTGAGGAGCGTATGGGTTCGCTGCCGGGGCAAGCGCTGGTGCCACTGCCGGAGTTTGAGGAGCATATCGGCTCGCCGTTCCTGAGGAAGTGACTTGCGTTGGTTGCGCTGCGGGTGCCGGTACTTCGTCTTCGAGGAACCCCTCGTCGTCACTCAACTCGATGACAGGTGCATCCTCGGGATCAGGCAGGAAATCGTCGTCCAGATCCAGATCCAGATCCCACTCGCTTTTCTCAGGAGCCTTTGATTCGGCCTGTACCACATGGGCACCAGGTGTCTGATCTACGGCCTGCGCAGGTTCGATCTGTTGCTGTTGGCTCGCGACCACACCGAAAAAGTCCTCCGCCTCCTCTGAATTTCCCCAGTCATCATCGGCTCCCGTGTTGCCACCTACGGTGGTATTCCCAATATTGTCATCTCCGACTGTCGTCCCAACGGCTTCGGCCATTGGTGTCTCTAGGGGTGTTTCCTGTGATTTCCCACCAAGATCAAAGGCGTCGTCACCGGAACCGCCCCATTCGTCTGCTTCGGTGTCTTCTACCAGGGGCACTTTTACACTCTCGGCCATGGCATCCTCCAAAGCTGTAGTCTCGCCCTGATGCTCGTAGTTCTCCTCTGCATGTTGCTCGGGTTCCGCCTCTTCGTCCGAACTTTCCTCTTCGCTCTCCTCTTCTCCAGAATCCTCCTCGTCGCTGGACTCGGCCTTAGCTGGTGTCGCTTGTGGTTCGCCAAGATCGAGTGCCTGCGTTTCATTTACCACATCGTCCTCGGGCGCAGCATCGTTTCCAAATTCTAGAGGTTCTTTTGTCTGGGGTGGTTGCGCTCTTGGCGGCGATTGTATGGTGTCATTGCGCTCAGGAGATTCGTCGCTTGAGCTTTCTTCTTCAACCTCGGGCTTGTTCGCAGGTTCTGCTATGACTGGCGCAGCTACTGCGGGTTTGGGGGGAGCCTCGTCCTCTTCCTCGCTCTCATCTTCTGATTCTTCGTCATCGTCGTCAGCCTCTTCGTCTTGGTCGTCCTCTTCTTCTGATGAGTCTAGTTTGTGTTGCTCAGGTTGTGTTGCGGGTTTCGCGCTGGCTGGTACGCCCGCTCCATTTTCGCTGCGCAATGCCGGGTTCCAAGATGTATTTGAGGGAGTCGAGGGAGTCGAGGGGTTCGAGGGCGCGCCACCGTAGGCATAGGAAAAGTTTGGGCCGTCTTCGTCCATTATGGAATAATTAGGTAAGTCAAAGGGTATCTACAAGTACTAAAAATCCAGTCAGTGCTGAAATTAGTGTTTGGCTGCTCGGATGTTGGGCCTGGGTTTCGGCACCGGAAGCAGGTTGACATGGCACGGTAGACGCCTCGTGGGACAAAATGGCAGCCACGGCAAAATATGCAGGAGAGAGTAAAATGTGACAGTTGAACTAGAGAGAATGCAGAGTGAAAGGCATTCGCGGCGGAGAGTCGAACGCAGAGGACGAATGAGAGTGCTCGTCATCCCTTTCTACGTCAGTGATCGCGAAGACAGTTACGTACCTCTATAGAAGCAGAAGAGCATGGGCTCTGTATGTCGCGCAACAGCGAAAGACGCAGTCTCCGTCGAGCAAGGCAACAAGAATCAAACAGCAGAGGCGAGCCCCAGTCGCATTGCAATGTAGTCTGGTAGGATGAGTGAGAAAGCGATCTGGCCAGCTGTTCCTGCGCCTTGGACATTGAAACGGCCCGCCGCGGCAGCCCCCAACGCCACACTTGCCGCCTGCGCCACACCCCAGCCTGGAGAGTGACGCGACTTCAAGACACATGGGCTCTACGATTCACACAGCACCACCTGCACCCTTCACTCCCGAGCCCGCCGCCCATTTCGAGGCATACTTGCTACGTGGACATTCCCCGGATCCTCGTCGGCACTAGAAACTAAGCGTCCAGTCGCCCAGACATTGCATCCAGACACCCCCGAAACGCCGCGGACCCCCGAAGGCAGCCAATATCCCTATAACCACACCCAAGCCCGTCGCACATGAGGTGGAACTAGCCAACCACTCCTTCCTGCACCGCAGTACCATCTTCGCTCGCCCATGAGCCATGGCTGCACCCCACCAGTACCACCAGCCAAATGCGCCAGATGAGGACTCGGACCTGGAACTCGACCTAGAGGAGCTGGACCCTCTGGCCACCCACTCGCAGTCCGCCTCTACACCACCGCGCCGGCAGTCCAGGGAGCAAACAAGGCCGTACCATGAACTAGGCGCGAGGATACCGCTGAGGAATCTCAGGGTAGGCCGGTTGCGCGCGAGCAAGAAGAAGAAGGAAGAGCCGGAAGAGGATGACCTGAGAGGGCTGTTGGACGACGATGAAGGGTCCAAGAGAGACTCTGCTGGCAGTTATGGCCAGTCTGGGGACGACGACTCGCCCCTGCTGTCTGCACAACACGCAGTACGGAGAAGACGGCAACCACCGCCGAGCAAACTATCCCGCCTAGGCTCAGCCATGCGCCTGCCCAGCTTCCTCTCACGACAGAACAATGCGCCTATACAGCTGGGCGATGATGATGGAGAGTCAGATGCCGAAGAAGAACATGATCCGACCACTCAGCGCACCATCTCTGTCGGCCAGCTCCAAACCTCGAGATTCCCTGCAAACGCCGTATCCAACGCCAAATATACCCCGTGGAGTTTCCTACCCCGCACTCTGTACAATGAGTTCTCCTTCTTCATCAACATGTACTTTCTGCTCGTCGCTCTATCACAAATCATACCTGTCCTGCGAATCGGCTACCTCTCGACCTACATCTTTCCCTTGGCGTTTGTCATATCCATCACGCTAGGGAAAGAAGCTATGGACGATATTGCGCGAAGGCGGCGAGACGCAGAAGCGAATTCCGAAGGTTACACAGTTTTGAAGTTCGAAGAGAACAGCCTCGGCAACGGCGTCGCGCCGGGCAAGAACTCGCAGAAGAAGAACCGTTTGAGGAAGCAGCCCAAGGACCGAGGTCGGTCAGCCGACATTGATGAAGAGGAGCAGCGACTTTCAGGCAAGGGTCTGGCCACGTGCACCTACTGGGAAGTTGTAAAACCCTCTCGGAGCCTCAAAGTTGGAGATGTCGTAAAGCTTGGTAAGGACCAGCGAGTGCCTGCCGACATGGTGCTTCTCAAGAGCTACTCCAGCGAAAATGCACCACCCGCAGAGGACGAGTCCAAAGTGCAGAGTTCGTCGGCAGCGCTTATTGACGATCTGGATTCTGAAGACACAGCCAAGGTCGATAATGCCACAGCTACCGGGTCTTCAGGCGAAGCCTTTATCCGAACTGATCAGTTGGACGGTGAAACCGATTGGAAGCTACGCCTGACTTCACCGCTCACCCAGAACTTGGATGTTGGCGAGTACACACGGCTCCGCGTCGTCGCTGGCAAACCGGACAAGAAGGTCAACGAATTCTACGGAACCGTTGAACTGCCTCCCAAGACACGGCGCCAGTATGACCCTCATGAGAATGAAGAAGTGGCCTCTCCTGAAGAGGTACATTCAGCATCCTTGAGCATCGACAACACCATTTGGGCAAACACCGTTGTTGCCTCAAGCTGCAGTCTGTTAGCTGTCGTTGTATACACTGGTCCCCAAACCCGTCAAGCGCTCTCTACATCGCCTTCCCGGTCCAAGACTGGTTTGTTAGAGCTGGAGATCAACTCCCTGACAAAATGGCTCTGTGTCTTTACACTGTCGCTCTCATTCATACTAGTCGCCCTTGCGCGCTTCCAAGTCATCGAAGGCAGGCAGTGGTGGCAATCTATGCTTCGTTTCCTCATTCTGTTCTCTACCATCGTACCAGTAGGTCTGCGTGTAAACCTCGACATGGGCAAGTCAGTCTATGCGTGGTTCATCCAGCATGATGAGAGCATCAAAAACACCATTGTTCGGACTAGCACGATCCCAGAGGACCTGGGCCGTATTGAGTACCTGTTGAGCGACAAGACGGGTACTCTGACACAGAATGGTATGTCAAACAACAAAGGGACTCTGACATGACTAACAACATTCAGAGATGATCATGAAAAAGATACACGTCGGTACGGTCTCGTATGCAAACGAAGCAATGGACGAAGTATCGTCATATGTTCACCAATGCTTTACACCACCCACTGGAGAAGCTCCGTCACTCGTCACGCCATCTTCTGCAAATGCCGCCCCTCTGACCTCAGCTACTCGTACACGCCGAGAGATTGGATCTCGAGTTCGCGATGTTGTGCTGGCTCTAGCACTTTGCCACAATGTAACACCGACTACTGAGGAAGAAGATGGGGAAACGGTAACCACGTACCAAGCCTCTTCCCCGGATGAGATTGCCATCGTGAGATGGACCGAGGCTGTTGGCTTGAAGCTACTGTCCCGCGATCGCGAGTCTATGACCCTACTATCGTGCGACAGCGGCAATACAGTGGTCAAGGTGCGCATTTTGAACGTCTTTCCGTTTACTTCTGAAGGCAAGCGCATGGGTATTGTTGTAAAGTTCTATCATGGTCCGGCATCATCACCCACCGATGATGGTGGCGAGATCTGGTTCTACCAAAAAGGTGCCGACACGGTCATGACCTCCATTGTTGCCGCCAACGATTGGCTCGACGAGGAGACAGCAAACATGGCACGCGAAGGTCTCCGAACACTAGTCGTCGGTCGCAAGAAACTCTCCGCGCAAATCTACCAAGACTTTTCCACCAAGCATGCCCAGGCATCCCTTGCCCTCAACAACCGCGATGCCGCCGTCGCCAGTGTAGTAAAGGAATTCCTGGAGAACGACCTGGAACTTCTCGGCGTTACGGGTGTTGAAGACAAGCTTCAAAAAGACGTCAAGCCCTCTCTCGAACTCCTCCGTAACGCAGGCATCAAGATCTGGATGTTGACTGGTGACAAAGTAGAAACCGCTCGTTGCGTAGCTGTCTCATCAAAGCTCGTAGCCCGCGGCCAATACGTCCACACAATTGCCAAACTAAAACGCAAAGACCTCGCCTCCTCCTCGCTCGACTTCCTCCGCGGAAAACTAGATGCATGCCTCCTCATTGATGGAGAGTCTCTCGCACTGTTCCTCCAACACTTCCGCCAGGAATTTATCTCCGTAGCCGTCCAGCTGCCCACTGTCGTAGCCTGCCGCTGCTCTCCAACGCAGAAGGCAGACGTTGCCCGCCTGATTCGCGAATTCACCAAGAAACGCGTATGCTGCATCGGCGACGGTGGCAATGACGTCTCCATGATTCAAGCCGCAGACGTCGGCGTGGGGATCGTCGGAAAGGAAGGTCGTCAAGCCTCCCTTGCAGCCGACTTCTCCATTGAGCAATTCTGCTACCTCGTGAAACTACTGGTCTGGCACGGTCGCAACAGCTACAAGCGCTCTGCTAAGCTGAGTCAATTCGTCATCCACCGCGGTCTCATCATCAGTATTTGCCAAACCGTCTTCTCTATCTCAAGCAACTTTGAGCCCAATGCTCTGTACAAGGACTTTTTGCTCGTCGGCTATAGTACTATCTACACCATGTGGCCTGTCTTCTCGCTTGTGTTGGATCGAGACGTTGATGAGAGCGTTGCGAATCTCTATCCGGAACTCTACGCTGAGCTCAAAACGGGAAGGTCGCTATCCTACAAATCCTTCTTCATCTGGGTCGCCGTATCCATCTACCAGGGCTCAATTATCCAGGGACTATCACAACTTCTCATTGGTGTTGGTCTTTCAACTACACCCCCGGCGGAACCCGACCCCACTTTCCTCAAAATGGTCAGCGTCAGTTTCTCGGTGCTGATTGTTAATGAACTTATCATGGTGGCTATGGAGGTCACGACTTGGCATTGGATCATGATTGCTAGTATCGTGGGCACAGCCGTCATTTACTTTGGCTCCATACCATTCTTGACAGGCTACTTTGACCTTGCGTTTGTGGGTAGCGTGGCGTTTTGGTGGAAGTTTGCGGTTATCGCGGCGATCAGTCTTGTGCCGCCTTATGCGGTCAAGTTGTTGGGGAGGACGCTGAAGCCGCCGAGTTATCGTAAAGTGCAAGGTGTATAGGAAATGGATTTGCATAGCGGGAGTTCTTTTGAGTTTGGAAGCAATGAGATTTTATTTCTACTCTTCATCAGTTCCTCTGGTTTTCCAATGTGTGCGACCTTTTCGAGCAGGCCCTTTTGCTTAGCTGAGCAATTGATCTTTCATCATAGTCCTGTTCCTCGATACCATTGCTCGTTTGAACATCTCCGCGACGAAGGCAGTTCATGTCTTAGTAAAGGAAAGAGAGTGAGAGGCTTGCTGAAGATTTTGCACAGAACAATATCACGTGTATAGAACATTTGAAACAATCGATTCAACAGACACTACAATTACGATGATCTTGTACAAGTATGAGAAAGCGCGAGTGGCATATGAAGGTCGTATCTCCATATGCTTACTTTGACTAGCTTAACCCTAGAGCTTCTTCTCAAAGCGTTTGTACATCAGAACGACAGCTTGCATATCAGTACCCCCATAAACTTGGGGGTTCGCCCTCAGTTCTACTAAACTTCGCTGAAGGACAGAATGATCGTTGATGTAGAAGACATTCTGAGGGCCACGTACGCTCGCAACCCAGTGACCTGCATTGTGTGTACCGCCGTGAGCAAGTACACTGCTTAATCGATACATGAGAGGCGGTGGGTCGTCACCAACAGCTTGATATTCAGACAGATTCAGAACTTCGGGAAGATTCACGGGATTCAAGTTCGGTGTACCGTTGCTGTTGACGATACTGAGTTTGATGCGGAGATATTCTGGTGATCCTTCAATACGTGTAGACTGCCTTCTTTGCTGCGTGCTGTTACAGCTGGTACAGTGGAAGGTATTGAGTGGAACTGGTTCGAACTCTCGTCTCATAGCTTCTTCAAGGCTGTCTGGTGTGCCGTTAGAGAGGATCGCGATGTTGTTGAAACCGATACTGTCGGGGGCGGGATTGTTTAGGGGAACCTGCTGAGAACCGCATGGACAATTCCAGAAGCACTCTTGTTGCAGTATGAACAGGGCTTCGTAGCGAGCTTTCCAGGCCGTATTTTCATTGAGACTGTTTGGGTTAGCGTACGGTTATCTAATGTCGCCGAGAAGACTTACTGGTAATTAACAGACTCGAGACATGCCGTTAATAGTCGCGTTTGCATCTCCTCCGGGTCCTCTTGTGCGTTCCCTGCCCCAGTGTCTGCTCCTGGTGTAAATTGTCGCAGCATGTTGTCGACTTGATGAACTCTGTTTAGCTCTGCATTGTTGAAGGGTAGACTGATAGGTTCACCAGCATTGAGATTTTGGATACCCCAGTAGAACTGGGCTAAAGCCTTCACCGCGCAAGCGGGACAGTCTGTTAACGTACTTCCTGGGTTCTTCTTCTCTTTTTTCTCGAGTTTCTTCTTGAGCTGAGTCAACTCCTTCTCAGGCAATTCGTCTTTACTAGGAATTTTCTTGTTCGACGATATAGTAGCACCGGACATATTCAAATCTAATTGTGCGTGGATCACATGAGCGGGACGGCATGGGAAGATCCGGTTTCCATTGTGCATGCTATTATGAGAGATGATCCACTGAAGAAATCTTGGCAAGTGTAATAGTGCTTGTAGACCGCTGAGTCGGAAACAAGTGTTGCCATTTCGCCTAAGACCTCTGCTTTTTTTACTCCGGTTTCTTGGGATAGGCCAGGTATTTGGAATTTGTTTAGCAGCAATATTCTTAGCTACTTGCCTCGCATGTGGCGCAGCTATTGGGTAGAGGCTCGTGCCACGCATATTGGGACGTTGCCGCGGCGCATTGTGCGCTGTACGGTGTGCCCAAGGATTTGCGGACATGTTCTATTGTGACTGATAGGAGTAATATCGGTGATGGTATAGTCTTATTCCTTATAGATGGTGATGTATCTTTTTTGGCTAACCAGCCGTACGAATGGTTGAGAGGTAGTCATGTTATACGACTTTATTCACAAAGCGAACAATGGTCGAGATGAATGGCTTTGTCAAACTCTGCCCCTGCATTCGACAACAAAGACATTATATACCAGAGCGACTGATGAGAACAGAATCCATCGCGATACCACTGCCGCCTTCATTCTTTGTCTGAGCAACGTAGTGAGGTGTTGACGATTGATACCAAATATAGGTTTCTGGTCAATACACCTGCATTTAAATACCGTAGTCCAACATGACGTTGGGTCGCGAATTTCCGATTAACTAGGAACGCCTTCATACTCCCAGCCATCAACCAGTCTTCTCTTCCGTCCTCTCTTGTTCTCCCTCCGATTTGCAGCGCACTTGACAAAGAAGGTTAACGCAGCCAAAAGGAAGATAATCACAGCCGCTACAGTTGGCACTACAACGATGCGCGTACGATTTGTGTCTGTCGTAGGAAGGTACGGACACGTCCCATTGAGTCCAATGACCCAGCAGTCTGGCACACTTAAAGCGTTCAAGTTGATGTAAAGCGCGTCATCATTAGGAGCGGCGGCCTGGAATGCAGAAAACAAGTGCGAGTTTTCCAGCGCAGTGTGTGGGACATTAAATCGATATGGGTCTTTGCAATAGTATTCGGCGTTGCGATAGTAAGTTGAATCGTCAGAGATACGCCAGTCATAAGGTTGTCGGGGATCGTGACAGGCCACACGATGGTGTTGGTTGCAGTCTTCTACGCGCCAGCGCCCTGCGTAGGGTGGCTTCATCATCATGACGACGCAGCGGTTGTCATTAGTGTCGTCCCCCTCTTCAGAGGAATTGAGGGGCTGACCAGGCGCGAACGACCATAATGTAGACTGTACATATGCGGCATAAGGCAAGGGATTCTTGTCCGCAGTCGTGTCTCCGAGGGTTTGATTGAGGAAGGGGGTTATACCACAAGCGGTAAAGTTAGTGACCGAGGGTATAGTCGAGGAGAGGTCTGGATTTGCGTTGATATCGAGTGATGGAACTTCGGCAAGGGCCCAAGATGAGTTCGTTGTCGAAGTAACGATGTTGTCGGAAGAAGAAAACAAGCAACCGGAAGTCACACGTCCATCCGTGCCAACTGATGGTGTCTTTTCATCGGCAATGGTTCCAGGAGGGAAGACGTAGTCGAGATCTGGTCCTGTGTTATAATTCGACATCTGCGGGGCAACGGTGCCATAACTAGTGACAAGTCGATATAGCTGCTTGAATTCCATGTAAGCTTCGTTTGGCCACCCACTTTCCGTGAACAAGTGTCCGTCAGCATTCTTGGAGTTCTCGTAGTAACCCATGAGTGGACGATTATTCCAATCGACGTTATACCACGAGCTATTCAAGTTCGCACGTTGGTCGGCCAAAGTAGACGGAGTGAATGTGTCATCAGAAAGATTACCTTGCAACACATCGCTGAGCAATTGCCCAGATTGAGGAAGTTGATTCGGAGACAGGTTCGGAGCTGGAGCGTCTGGATCGGTGATAGATGAAGCAGCATGTACGTTGAAAGTGAACATAGTTGTCGCTGCACTAGTTGTAGTAGCTGTTATTTCGAGGAACTTCTCTAGTATGCCGGTAAGTAAGTCTAGCGTCATCAGAGACGTGCAATTGTAACTCCCGATTTGCAAAAGCGGCGGTCCATTGGGGTTTGGGAAATCGACTATGGTTGGTGTTGCTGCACTCGTCGAAGCTGAGGAAGTTGAGGATGCGACCGAAGACGCGACAGCTATCGAACTCGACGATAGATCTGCAGACACCGAAACCGATGTGGATGTCTGTTGACGCTTTCTTGCATTGCGTGGAGGATCGAATGTAGACAGCGGAATCTCCGCACTCATACTATCACTTGATGGCGCTATTGTCGGCCCAGTCGCCACAGGCAGATTTCCTTCAGCCGATGTATCTTCATTCGACTGAGGCAGCTCAACTGGGCACAAACTCCATACTGAACGCAGCGGATCCCAATACGTATCGACTGTGAATTTCCGGACGCCGACAGCCAACAAGTTTGAAAAGCATTTTTGGAAAGCATTATGTTCGTACTGGTTTTGCGCAAAACACGCCTGTGCCAGCGATACGGCTGAAACAGTCTGAAAGTTGATCGGTACACGAAGTCCGACATCTCGTTGTGCCTACCACCGGTCAGCAAGGCATTCTCTAACATCTGCGTACTTCCAGAATAATAGCGTATTGACCCTGTGAAACCCAACACCTAGGACACTGCTCGCCGGACACTCTACACAACACGTACAGCTGACACTTACTCTAAACGCTTCGCTCCATGGCTCTATCCAACGCGTGTTCACAGCACTTTGATCCGGGTTATACAACCCGTTAGCCGACATTCCCGCTGTTGGACCCAAACATCAGCAACCGCGAAAACGTGGCACACACCTCGCGTGCAACAGACGGGCAAAGACGGCACCAGGAAGCAGGGGAATACGATAAGATATGTTTAGAAACAATATGCAACGGGGTATATTCGTATATGCAGATGCAGGTGTTGATGGTGGATAGGATGATGTCGTTGACGATCTACAGGGCTGCAAGGCGCGACGGAGGTGCGACGTCACGTGGTACGGTGCTAGTTTTCCCACCACTCCCGTTGCGGTTAAAGCATGGCTGGCCAATGATGACGATTTGCATCACCAAACTCACCGTTCAAAACACCATGTCTGCAATTTGGAAAGCGACGATTCCAGCAAAACGTCCGATGGCTTGCATCCTGGTTAGGCAGCGGAATGCGTGTGGAACGCATGGAACGTGTGTGGTGTCATCATTTACACATGATATAATCTAGGAAGTCGCACATATTGATCCCAAGGATTCGAAGGAACGTTGTGCGTACAAGCCTCGCACATACACTTAACACAGCCGTTATTACTGGGCTTGCGCAATACCGAGCCCGCGTTGCTGGCAACTCGCTACCTACACTCCGTAAGCGAGAGCTCGTGTCTCACTGTTTCGTGCGACCTTGATCGACGTCCGAAAACTTTTCTCAGGGAGTTTGCTGGCCGGGTGAGATGCAGGTCAGCAGCGGGCGGGCGGGCTGCTGGGAAATGCATTGAGGGCGCATTGAAGTTTGCGAAAAGCTTGCGTGCGGTCTTTAGGGACGATGCAGGTATGCGGCGCACGCATGGACTTGCTGACTGCCGCTTACTGTGTACAGTGCGGATTGCCACGACTACAGTCGACGGAGAAAAATGACCGCTGCAGGAGTACTGCTTCTACGACCCGTTTTTTTTCGCGGGATGTCTCCTGGCTACGGACGCAACGTTGCTATTGAGGTAAAAGGTCCGCTAGCTACAAGCGGTCGAGTCAACGTCGCCCACGGTAGAGCCGAGAAAGCCGGAGCTGTAACCCCGACAATTTTGCATAGCTCAAAGCGAATGCGATGAAGAAAGGGCCTAGATCTGGGTAGCGATGAGAGCAGTCAAATGGAGGTTGCTGGTACTGCAGATGCACTCATCCGGAAGAGAAGGGTAACCTAATCGATCACAGGGCTACAGCGAACACGCTTATGAACTTTCTACTCAATATAGCAAAGAACCCCTTGCAGCACAGAAATGAGTCTATTTGAAGAGGTGTGCACACCACACTCAAGGCGGCAGTAACTCCGCACTGTTGATACTTTCGTCGACAGTCGCCGACGCCGTGACACGCCTCAATATCGGCAGAAGCAGAAATAACGGCTGCAGACGTTGGAGTACGTATGTCCGGCCGTCCGGGGAGATATCCACTGTTGTTTGACATGTAACGTCTTCATTGCGTACGCACAAACGAGCGAAGTTTCGCATGAAGGCACTGTCCCCACACGACTGTTGACGCAACCGCCCCATGCGCGTTTCACCGAGGGCACCAGCACGTTACCGAGCGTGCCGAGCTTCTCAAAGTCTGGGTGCGAGGGTCTTGGTCTGACACCCGTCTGACAGTCCTGCATACCCCTACATCTGTAGTGCAGTTGTGAAGACGACGTGTTTCGCGCATAACTACTACCTCGGATTTGGACATGCAATCCCAGACATGAGGAAAAAGGTTTCACCATCGAAGCTGCATGCACATGTCATGAGTTCGACCGAGTGCATGGCCTCGCCACGAGCCACAGGTTGCGGAGAAGGTCCGGCGAGATCTGCGCTAGAAGAAGACGTTGTGATGCCTGTGCCGATCGAAAGGAGCACGACATTGGCACATGGTGACGAAGGACTCGATGTGATCCTCGTTTGGCGATAATCGTGCCATATTGGAAAAAGAGACCACAGCCACAAGACCGAGATGCGCCGGATCAACGGACCCGCAACCTTCAACGTTCAACGGCAAATGGCGATGTGCACTCGTCTACTCGCCCTCCAGTTGCAAATCCGATGTTCCACAATACCGCCGTCCATGGTACCATTGAAAGTCGTATTGTGACGGGCTGAAGACTTGAAAGAGTCGCGACCCGAGAGACTGGGAACTGAAATACCTTATGCTCAGGACGGCGACCTTCGATCAACGCCTCTGCGACGGCGTTTTGCTTAGCAGCAGAGGGAAGGGCGGTAGACCATGGGAATGAACGGCGACATCCTCTTGACGGCGTGGGCCCAGTACCAAAGTCCTCGTGGGCGCTATGGTTTAGTGCGTGAATGTCCGCATTAGGGTACCAGACTTTGTTACTATGCCACATGCACAAAATGCGCGTGTCTTCCCAACGCTTCCAGCACGATTGTGGACATGGAGATATACGCTAGTCGCAAATCTCGCGAGCCGTCGCGCGCTAAGGCGTAGATCAAAGTCTAATTCCCGTAAGCGGTAAAGCCACCAGTAGCCGCATGATCGAGCCCTGGAGGACCCAGTGTCTTGTTTTCTTACTAGCAATGGCAGGTAGGAATGATGGTGGCCTTCTAGTCGCCGGCCCTTGCTGTAGTGAATTAGGCCGAGTGGGACGTTGACGTGGACGATTCGAACGATCACACGGGAGGGGTGGACGTTGAATCGTAAATTACAATGAAGCGATTTGCTCGGATGCGCGGTTGACGAAAACGAGGGCGGATGTGCCGCACCGGACGACGGTACAGAGAGCAATGATTCGTGAAGCTCGTTGGAATGAGGGGATCCTAGTGCGTGTACCTGTGCGTACAAACAGGAGGTGCGTGGATAGTTCGCAATTTCCACAGTCGCTATTCCAGTGCGGTGTAGGGGAGGTCTTGCGATACTATTGACTTCGTGACGACTTGCTCTCTGATCTTTCCAGGGACTCCCTGGAGATGGTCTATCAGAAGAAGTGCCGAAGCATACCTCGATGTCGCAGGACTCACGGTGACAGAATCTTGCTGAGCAGTCCAGAGCCCCACCTCGGCCACTATTGGTGGCAGTGTACGGAAAAGGAGTAACCAATCAATCATTTTAGAGGAAAAGTATTGTCCGTCAGCCGGGCGCGTTCAGTCCAATGAAAAAGTAGTATAGACGACACTGCAGGTGTTGCGACGGGTACGACTGCGTGGGCTGATCGGTGATTGTGGCGAGATCGCCCCATGCGTACGTTGAGGTGTGGATGGAGAAATCGTGGTAGTGGGTACCTCAGACGTTTGTGAGTATCTGTCATGCGGTGGGTTCCACAGCCGGTTGAGGTGCCATTGGAGCGGTGAGCTCACGCCGCCCTGGAGCGTTTAGAAGCCTGGAACTTAGTGTTTGTCGATCAATATTCGCGGTGGGAACTCCTTGTTCTGTTCGTCAGTCACTTGAACATGTGAACTTGGTACTCGGTATCACTAGTTGGTCTTGTGAGGAATGGAAACTGCTGTAAGGGGTGCATATGTTGTAGTATTGATTGTATTTGATTGGCATCGCTAGAGGACGCTTGCAAGTGCTGTTGCACTGCTGGGTATTATTACTGGCAACGAAATTGTCGCAGTGTATAGCAAGGCCTACTTGAGGGCCGAATAGAAAAACGCCGTGATGTGTCGAATTTCGACGTGCTTGATGCTACATGGCTAAGACGAGCCTAAATAGAACCAGACTGATGTGCCTCCCAAACCGTTGCACGTGAATAGAGATGCGACATGGGGTATCCTGAAAGTCGTATACGATGTGTCCCTTTTTAGTTCCATGCAAAACAAACGACAAGGTTGAAGAACTCTGTAACAAACAAAGTGTCGATCATTGAATATCGGCCATTAATAGAAGTAGGTGATTTGAAACGTGCGACGTATAGACAAGAAGGGGTATGTTGGACAAAGTGAAACATGATAGACAATTACATGATGTTTCGTAGGGACATCCTGTCTTTGGGTGAGACGGGTGCACTCCGGACCTCTGACGGTACCGAAGGGAGCACGTAGGGTGACGGGAGTTGTCGCGCAGCTGGGCTAGTTGTTGCACTCGAAGACTGCGGCACCGGGAGCGTTGGCTCGGCGAGAGAGTGGAAAGGGGGAAGTGCCCGTTGAGGAACACTTGTTGGCGCAGACTGAGGCATAGAGTGGTGATGTGTGAGCTGAGGAGTGGGTTGAGTGAGGAGTCTTGGTGGTTGTGGTCGCTCGTAGTTTGGCTCGCGGAAGGCAGGCGAAGGCTTGGGTGCTGAAGCATCACTGCGGTGTAGAGGAGGGAGTTGTAGTGAGCCTCGTCGCCTGTAGACATCGTAGGAAGAGTCGTCTTCGGGCGCAAAGCCAGTTGTGGGTAGATATCGTGTAGAAGAGCTCTTGCGTTCCTCCCGGCTGCCGACTAATGGAGCGAGTGTGATGTCGAGTGGTGAAGCTGCACCACGTGGTGAGCGAGACTCTGAGCCAGTGTCTGTGATGAGAGAAGGTGCGCCATCGGCTGACACGATGGAGTAGCCAGAAGGAGAAGGCATGGGTGTCTCGAATCCCCGTGCTCGGACGGTAGCGTGCGATCCATAGGCTGAGATGTCAAGAGGCTGAGGTCGTGATCCGGAGAAGGGTTCGAAACGCTGGGGCTGAGGCAGCTTCATGGCGTGGGGAGAGTTCATTGAGGTGTTGAGTGATGGTCGGTGTGATTCGTGGTATGAGGCCACGCGATGCTCTTCGTGGTGGGGCTGGCCATGGGGAGCTGGGTAGTGGTAACCAGTCTGCGGGTGGTGCATGTGCTCTCGGGGTCTCTGATCAGGGCGCTCAGGGTTGCGCTTGCGGCGGTTCTGGCCGCCATTCCACCAGTTCTTTACAGCGTTGTCGCTGCGTCCTTTTAATCTGCGTGCAATCTCTGCCCACCTCTTGCCCATCTCAGCAACCATCTTCTCAATCAGCTCCCCCTCTTCTCCAGTAATTGGATCATGGTTCAAGGATGGCTTAAGATTTTGGTGGTAACGCTCTCTGCATTGTTTTGGTGACCGGGAGCCGATCTCTTGTGAGATGCGTACCCAGTTGTGAGGTCCATTGCGAGCGACGAGGTTGACGAGCCACTGATCCTCGTGCTGCGACCATGGGCCGCGTCTGTGGGCAACCATGATGGAATCTTCACGTGGAATTGGTAATCTGTCACAGTCCGTAAAACTATCAAGACGTTCAGAAGAGTCTCTGCTTGAGTCGAGCTTGTGTGAAATGTGTTGATGTTCTGCATGGAGAGTCAGTCCTGAATGGGTCCAAACACTGTAGGAAGTAGGCAGATTGGACGGATGTGAAACCACAACCATATCGAATGTGTCGAAGTTGAGAATGTGTGAATGGTAAGAAGTGGATCAGGGAGATGGTGTATGCCAACACGCCGCGATGTTGGTAGACAAAATGCAGGAGGGGCAGTTGGTGATCAACGACGACGACAGGGGAGGAGAATTAAGCATACCGTATTGTTAGGGTTAGAAGCACAGAGTCAAGTGTCAGTGTCGATTGCAGTATGGTAGAGGCGAAGTCGAACGGTGGTTGACGTTGGTAGACGAACCAACGGTAACGTGGTAGAGGCGAGCACCGGTATATATCACGACGGGCGCGGGGAGGAGTAGTCAGGACACTTGGACGCCAAGGTGGTCGAGGAGCTATTGACTCCTTCGGGACGGGCAGATGTGTGCGAGGATTCTGCTTTTCAGACGATGCGGCTAAGGCACTGGTGAGATGGTGGACGGAGAGCGCTGGGGCGTCATGCGGCGCTCAGAGCGACTAGCTGGGCCCTGAGCAGCAAAGGGCTAAAGTAATCGTTGTCGACGACGCACACAAGCAGCGATGGACCTGGTTAGGTGCCAGATCGTCGGATTCGACAAGTACCCTGTATCACATCGTGGCATGGCGTATGGCGCTCGCCCGGCGCCGACTTGGGACGGCAGAAAAAGCAAGCGCAGCGCCTTGCTCGCATTACCACCCTGAAAACAAGCGTAGTGAATTGCTCCCCCTGCAACGCTTCCTGGCCGCCGACAGCGCGCTCGTCCCCGCCGGCGGCCCACCGCTCGCGCAGAATGGATGCACTCGCTAGGGCCCCTGGCCGTTTCGTTGTCGATTCATGATGGTGCACGCTAGCAGCAAGGCCGGTGGGATTTGGAAGACACCATGGAGACAGTCAATGATACCCCCACTCGGCGCGATACTTGCACTCCCCTGCCCACAGTAAAACCAAACATGTAGATGGCCGTAAAGTTGAGTAGCAGCCTCAGCCAGCCAGCCTCAGCGGCATCCAGGATGTTCCAGTGGACTCGGCCTCGTCCCCATCGTGACCGTGACAAGCTCTGTGTTCCGTCATCCTGGTCCAGGAAGACCAGGCATGCGTCTTGGGCTCTACGGCGCATTTATGGCCTTGCCCTGTGAAGTGATTGATATGGCCCTGTTGTAGTCTATTCTTACAGTGTCGAGAGGACGTCTTGCCCACTTGTCTCCCCTATGGCAGGCGTGTCTGAACTGGTGTTTCCAGTAGTAATGCAATCCACCCAGAGACAGCCCTCTCCAGCGCCGCACGATGCACGTTGCAGTCAGCACTTGGGCGTCGATCAAACGGGTGCTGGTGCTGATTGCGGACCGGGCGCGAGTAGTGCGATCGTCATGGCCCTCACATTGGAGGACACGAGGTCGGCGAGGTGAGCTTGGCGTCCTTCACCTCTCCTTTTCGGGCCTGTCGTTCTCCCGAGGCTAGCGCAGTGCACTCACATCGAACTGACGGTGTTTCTGCTGTTCTATTTTCTGGCGAGTGCGACACACGACCTGTTTTCTGAGGCGCGCTGTCTCGCTGTGTGTGCTGGGGAGGTGACTGTGAAGGTGTCGAGCTGGCGGCCGTTGGTGGGCTGGAGACTGATCTGCCGGCGGGCCAGTAGCGAAAAGTAGCGAGACCGCTCAACTGGAAAGTGCGCACCAGTGAGCGCCTGCCATGGCATTTGGAATATCGCTAGTGCACCAGTCGCGCCTGCCTTCCAGCCCTTTTCGGCAGGCTCGGAGAGCAGTCGCGCACCTTTTGGGAAAGACAAAACCGTTGATTGCCAAAACACATCGTCACTCACGTCTGCACGCTTTCCTCGCCGAAGTCACTCGTTAGGGCGATCGTATGCTGAAGCGGGTATCTTGGTTACCGTGACGCTATCATCTCGATCGTCCTGCATACCTGCAACGGGAGCCTCTACATGACCAAGTGAGGCTGTCTTCGCCCAACTTTCTCCATTTATGCCCCCCAGCCCGACGTCGACCTATTACGCCATTGGTGGGGACGCTGTACGTCTGTCTACTCAATCTGATACTGCCAGAGAGGCCTATATCACGAGTGACCCATGTCGGCGGTGCGCAAATATAGACGGCCTCGTCCAGACTGCTGCATACCCCACGCGACATGGTTCCAGCTCTGTTCGCTCGAGCAGAACATGGGCTTCACCCATTTGCATTCGGATTGCCCGAGGTATCGCCATTCCCTGTTGCGCAAGCTTGCGGCGCAGGCTGTGGCTGATGCATCAGATCCGGGGCTATTGGGGCTATCCCCCTCTGCTCCTAGTGCGTCCCAGTCGTCGGGCTAGCGTTACGGGACGCACAGCATCCGGCCGAGTGGGTGCTTTGTTTCGCTGAGCCTCAGCCGCTTTCTGCTGCACACGCACTCAAATGCAGCGACCTCGCCGTCCTTCCGACGTCTTCATCTGCGCGGCCTGGCCTGGTCATCCGTACCTTCGCTAGAAATCGCTTGCAGAGCTCAACGGTCGCCGTCGCCGATCCCTTCCGAGCCCGCAATCTCGACGAACGAATGACAATTCCAAGGGTTGCAAATCTGCTACATGCGCACCCAAACTCGTGGCTCGTCGTGATTCAGTACCCTGGTAATGGTCAGGGTCAAGTTGCGATCGCGGAAACAAACTCTCGGCAAACATGCACGCCTGAACGTCGCGTTCGGATTCGCGCAACGGCTGTTCGTCTGTCGGCGTGCTGGTGGAGACTTGCCTGTGCCCTTGAGTCGTCAAGTCGCCAAACCATGTACCACCGAATGTCATCCAAGACCTTCAAGCCCCTTCTGTTCCTCGGAGCACCGCGCGGGGTCTTCCGCTTGGTCGACGATTTTTGAAATCCTTGTCTGCCCTCTATCACGATTGGCTGCTTCGTACGTCAGCCGCAGCTACACTCTCGACCATCCCAAACCATGCCGCGCACACTATCCCGCCCTGTGGGACCAACGGTGGTTCCAACAATCAGGTGTGGCTCATGCTGTGCCAATTACAATGGTCGACCCAGACAATTTGCAAAGGGTGCATCGTGTTACAGCTACCACGCTCTCGTGCTACGTCTTTCATATGCCTCTGTCCGAACATGTTCGGGCCTTGACCTAAACCCATGTCGAGACTGCACTTCTTCCCGACGCCAGATTACACTCTATGTAACAACGGCATGCTTCCGCACTACATTACCCGCACCTTGCGAGTCGCGGAATATTGGCTTTCGTCGGCGAAAACTCCCCAGCAAGGTCTGCCCTCTCTCTTGGCCTACACAAAGAGAGGATATGCGCGGGGGGAAGGGGATGGGCGATCCACGGATTGGCAAAAATCTCACAGCATGTTCCCTGTAAGTGTTCCCCACGCCTCACAGCATACGCTCTCGTCATGCACATGATATGCACATCACGGCAACCATGACCGATGTTGAACAAGTTACTCTTCTGACGTCTTGCCGATAATGGTTCTGGAGTCACGCTTGTAGCCTTCTGTATCTGACTGCCCCACTGCCAATATTGTATCTATACCTACAAATCGTCATCGACGGCACGTTTCTACCAGGGTCTGCGGATACGCATACTGCCGTGAACAACTCTTCGGCGAGGAAGGGGTATGAGATGGAGGCCTGTCTGGATTTGCATTTCCTCAAATAACTCCCCATACGTAAAGACAGGGATACCCAGCCACGATCTTCTAGATCAGAGATTGACGAGTGATCTACGCTCGACCAATAGCATCGCCAGCCGCTGCCTCAATCTTTCTGAAACCCATTCTCCATCTTTGAAAGCTTTTTTTGTTATTCCTACGTGTCCTCCTCCTATGAACTAGGTTCGCTATTGGTGGTGGCGCCTCCCAATCCAATCTGCGGTTGACGAAACGTTTACCTATCGAGGTTTGGAGCTTACAGTTTTTTGACAGCGGCACACCAGCGGCCAAACTCATTCGACCTGTCCACGCAGTGGCCCGCACCAGCCTCATTATTCCAGGCATCCACGCACGCGTGGCAGCACTGTTCAGCAACTGGTCCGGATGCGATCTTCAACTCCATACCTCAACTGCACTCATGCTTCAGACATGTCCGGGGTGATACCACAGTGCAGTACACTGCATTCCTTCGCGCAGAACTTCACTTAGCAAAGCGTCGTTGCTGACTCGTCATCGACTCCATCTGCGTACGTTAGCGCGCTGCTGCGGCGCATCCTCCTCACTGGTCCAAAGCAAGATGCGGCACCAGCGAGGGAAGGCCGTTTAGCTCAGATCTGAGCGCCCGCCGAATCGGATCGACATGCCCCACTAAAACCCCTTTCCCCCCTCGCTCAGAGGGCTGCAAAAGTAACAAAAGTTATAATGCGGTCAGCAAATGCTATCCGGAATCAGCAGCCAAGATTGTTGGCATCCCATACTACTCGTTGCTCGGCCCATGCCGACCTAGCCCATGTTGTTCTTGGTCAACATTTCGATGATTCGCCGGGATTATGCGTTACCTGCATCACCCGCCCATACGGAAAATAGCACCCAACGGATGATCTTCTGTTTCGGAATTTCACCGTCCTTCGAAACGTTAATGGCGTTGATCACGATGACACTTCGCCAAGCCCTATCGTGATAGTCAATAGATCAAGTTCGGGTGACCTCGCCGAAACACTAGCAATTGGTTTTGACCGCGGAATCAGGTTCCAACATCTTGTGCGTGCTATGGAGGATAGGCCGACCATGACGCTTGATTCAATGGTTACTGAACTCATAAGTCCCCGATGCCGTGTGCGGTTACGGCCGTCGGACATCCGCATCAAGACCATCTCCCGCACTACACGTAGCGTGCCAACAATTCATCACGAAAGTCCATGCAACATGTCCCCCTTCTGCAAGCCCGGTTATCGAGGCAGTCATCGTGTCATACTCGTTTCCTTTGCTCAATGTCCATCTGTGCGTACCATGATCAACCACACCGATGATCGACCGGTTGGCCACACCCGGATGGAGATCCACGACTCATGAGCATTCTTGCGTGCTCAGGGCGATCAGGGTGCAGTCGTTGCTTCTTCGTAGCCATCAGGACTCAGATTCAAGGCATGCACTGCACCGCCTCGCCTCACGTACCCATCCATCCCTTTTCACGTCACGCCGAAGTGCCCGATTCATCCCCCTTCCAGCACAAGCTTCCCGTATCACCCTATGCCCTTTTCCCCCACACGAGCTTCATCAAACAGCATGCTCCACTCAGAAAGTTCAGGAACGTTTGCCCTGGACACGGGCCCTGTCAGAAGCATAAAACAGCATCAGGAGGGCTCTTCGAACAGGGATGATCGCTTCACTATGTTGGCAAGAGCTGGTTGAGCGTTCACCGTTTCCGGACAGACAGTAGCACGCCCACGCGTCGTTGGGGATGACAGCGCATCGTACGAGCAATAAGTACCCACTCTGAGTAGACTCATTACAGCAGTAGAGCCATTCAGCGACGCTTGTGGACCACTATCTACTCGGCTTCGCTTCCGCGCCCAAGTTTACATGCAATCATCATGAACTCAGCTGTTCAAGACTGAAAGGAAGCCCGGAAGACACCGTCGATCCACATGCACCGTAACGTTGCCAACTAGCCTACAGTTACCGCTTTCAGCACTTCTGCTTATCGTTTTGTTCTCTCAATAGCCCCGAGCACCAATCACCATCCCGAGTCGAGCACCATCTGAGGCACAGCAGAATCCTGTTTTGCAGACCTGCCATTCTTTTCGACCATTGCTGACTCGTCGCAATATGGAACGATAGTGACTGTCACAGTATTGGGCTCCAAACCTTCAGCACTGAATCGGCGCGCTTGTGGGTTCGAGAAAACCCGGTGGTTAAGCTGAGCATCAGAATGAGCTGATATCACTGCCACGTTAGCTATGACGATCGCTTTTACATGAGAGATTGTCAGAGCATTTCACTGACCTGCTGAGCGTCAGAGAGCACCTGCATGTTCCACTCGAGGCTATCACTTCCACTCGAGAATCTCATTCCAACTGCGTGACCACATGTATGCTTCTAATTCCACCATGAGCAGATCAGTAAGCCTCTGCATTTGATGCTGGTGCAACCTCTCATGAACTGCATTGTGTGTTTGTCTTTCTTTGCCTCACTTCTCGAATTCTCTTCAGTCCACTGTATTCTTTGCATCCAAATGTCGCTTCCGTCCCCGGGCAATAGGACGCCATCAGGTGGTATGACTTTCATCCCAGAGCCACTTCAGGCATTATCACCTCGGCTTCCTTGGTTCAAAGCAGTGGCACAATTCAGGCACTGTCATTAAAAGTATTGCTGAATGAAACCTCAATCTATGGCGCCTGGCCTAGACATGAGTCCACCAGTCACCTACCCCGACTCAAAATAGTTCCAGCTTCAGCTGGACAGGCTCGTTACACCGATCGAAACATAGCAGCACCTCGCTTCCATGCCCAACAACGCTGTGGACGCTGATATTTCACCCATCACATTCAGTGCATGAATGGTACCCCACGTTGTGCCCTCTACGACACGCGATGTCCGTTCCGGAAACCCGTTGAGGTACCTGAACAGCGCCGAACACGAAGACCCAAGGCCACGGTAAGAGCACGAGGCTTGTCTACATATGGTTTGTACAATTAGCCCTTGCGTCTGTGAGTGGCGGAAGAATTGGTACAGATATAGTAGGTTGATGATACACGGCAGTTTGGGGTTGGACGTGGGGTAACGCCATGAGAAGGATACGACATGCTGATTTAATTGCACAGGCAGGCGACCCATGGGCAGTACCCATCACTTATTGCGACCACCGGGTCAAAGGATACAAACAGGAATATGCAACAAAAGCGCCATGGAAAGGCGCTCAGCGAAAGGATCGTTATATACGCTCTACTATGACGCTTCATACACTGCCGAAACATGGCTGTCGCTCTCTGCGCAAGAATCGCAGATTCGCTCGCTAAGCGATTTACCACCCTGCTCTCAGCTTCCACAAGCAGCATCTGCATGCGTTTAGAGTACATGAGCACGGCAATCCCGGTTGGCGAAGACCATGGCTCAGCCAACGAGCCTCCAGACCCCTCGTGTCTCCCTCTGGTACCACTTATGGGAAGCCCGTCAAAAGCTGAACACGAACCCGAGGCCTCGCACCCGGGTCCAACGCCCGCAAGCGCCGCTTTCTGTAGGATGCTTCTAGGTAGTTCCCAAAGGGTAGCACGGCGCACACGCGAAATTCCTCACTGCATTGTCGGCTCGCCGCTGTGTAGGTCATGCCTGTTCCTTCAAACGTCGCGTTCGCTTTTGCTGAGGCGGGGTCAGGAATCTTTCAGGCATACGAAACCTCCCACCTTGCACTGTCCCTCGCAAACATTTTAATCATCTTTCTCACGTCCGACCAGGATGGTCAAGACAGGCAGAAGGATCACTTCCTCCCTGTCGCATTTCGCACAATACTCCCCAATCTGTCAGTTACGCGGGCCGTAGCCGTCCGGAACCAATCTCCATCGTCATCCACCCGCGGCTTGTCTTGTCTGACACACGACAAGGGACCTTGGACCCCATGCATCCAACCAAACGCCAGCGGGGTGCACACCGAAGGAACAAGGGAAGTCAAATATCACGTATTCAGGCATGCAAGCGAGAGAGGGGACCAATTGCCCGCCTAAACCCACGAGGCAGGAAAAGCCGTTGTGCCACGCTAAACTGATTTTATTTATAGCGCTGAGCAGGCGTGTATTCCCTCCGTTCCATCCTATCTACGCCCCGGGAGTCGGAGACGGCATGCAGCTACGTTGATGAGACGGTGTGCGTCTATATCCGCCGGCATTTGAACGCCGAAGCGCGATATGGCGTTGCAGCGTGTATTCTTCACAACATGCTTCTGCCTGCGTTTATGAGTTGCGGGTATCGCGGTGTTCGCGATAGTGGAGCCCTGGATTAGGCCCGATGCCACCCGTCATCGCGGCCATCTACGACTTTGCAGTCCATCGCCCGTTTGTAGTAGAAGGCGCGAAATTCTTTGCAACACACATGTGGATACAGGCCGGTCGGCCGATCAGATAGCGCATGTCATCTTGAACATGGCCCCTTGCTCCGTTGCTGGCGGAGCGGAATGAGAGTGCTCGGGGCTGGTAGAAATATTTCACCGCGAAATCGGCCGAGTTTCTTCATTCTCGGAGGCTCACAGTCTAGAACACTGTCTTCTTGTTGAGCGCGCCGGGTATGTGTCGCCCTTAGAAGATACCAGGATACCAGGTCGACACAAACTTCCACGAAGTATGGAAACAACGTAATTGTACAGAAGAACCCCGCGTCGTCATCCTGCACTACTACCAGCCCGTGCACAAGCCTTCTCTACATCACGATCCTGCATCTGCATCCTGCAGCCCGGTAAATCACCCGTGGGCCTACGTATCCATTTCATGACAGCCTGACTCTTATTTCTCTTAGTCAACTTATCGGCCATGGGCGTTTTTACGAGCTCGAAACCTTGAGAAAGGTACCCTGCGTCTGACCCCTCGCAATATCACATCGGTCAGATATTTCATGTGTCGATCAGACGATTGTTGGTGTTTGGGGTAAGTTTGAGTGTGAGTGAGGCGAATGAGCAAGGGTAAGTGCAAGAGGTTTCGTGTAAGACCGAGGTAGGATATTATTGGGAGAATAGACGAGAGGGAGAATCTACGGTGATGTATGCTATTGGATGTGAGTCTGATAATGCAGCGTGCCCTGTTCATTCAGCGACGGCGGTCCCAGCAATCTGGTAACGCTAGTTCAACGGGCGCGTAAAGGTGGTAGGCTGGGATTCATTATGTCGCCTTACAGAATAGTACAGTTAGTTTTGGGCTGCCGTTTGTTGCATGACGGGCTTTCATGTACTGCACGTTTTTCTTCTCGGTGATGCAGGACCTAGGCCTTTTGCGTGTCGTGCGTCCGCTTCTAGAACAACCAGTTTAAGCGAAAATGACATGTTTCTGGCATTAGCCTCGTGCTTTCGGACTCAGGTCGTACGTTTTGGGCTGTCTGATGTGTGGCGAGCAGGCAGGTCAGGAATGGCGCAAGTCTCTTGCCTGCAACGCGTGGCACTCCATATCCGTGTGTCGTCACCACACCACACTACACTCCAATGCAACTAGGCGCAAAAATCCTTCAGCCTCTTTCTGTACGTTCGCTTCCTCCGAGTCAGTCAAGTTCAGTCCCGTCCGTTCGTCCATATCCATTAGCCACCTCATGATCTTCCAGCCTTTGCGCCACAAAATCCTTCCACATTGCAAAGCGGTAAAAATTAAACATTTTTACCTGTTTTGAGCCGGATCGCCTGACTTCCGGAATCCTTTCACAAACCTACGACATCCTGAACTGCTGCTTTGGGGAGTAGCGTATTGCCTGATTTGGGATGTATGCGATGAAGGGTTAGTAATACTGATCTGTGGAGAGCTGGACTTTGTATGCATCGGTCGCACCGTATGGAACGATTCTCCTCTGATGGGACTGACTGCAGATGGCGCAAGTGAACTGTTCATGATGGATTTTGGCATGATTGGTGTTGAAGCAGCGCCGAGATGGGTGGTTCAGCTCTCTCGGTCCACACCTTCTCTCTCCATGGGGTCTTAGCATGACAACGACTCGTTCGGCAGTTGCTCGCGACGAATGACCTTGACGCTGCCCGCGTTGTTCTGGCCTTGTCGATATCGGATTCCGTCACAACGTTATCCTAAACGGTACCGCGGACTGGGCCGCCCCATTCCCATCGTGGCGACTTGATCGTCCTTACCCGTCCGAAGCAAAACCAGGAAAACCCACGGCGCAGAGCCGAGATAACGGCTATAGTCACAGTTTGATTGGGGTATATTGTTGCCGAGAAGAAACGTCGCCGAGGTAGTTTCGCTTCAGGCAGTCATTGAGGCTGGGCTATAATGGGTATGGACATGGATAAGCGATGATGATCGTTTTCCTTGAGCGTATCGCAGAGCGGAAGGCTGCGGGGGTAAGAGTCTTGGGCGGCAACGTTGAGGCTATCAGCTGTTGATTTTTGGTCACATGCGACTCGAGAATTGCGAGTAGTGGATAAAGGTCTAGTTGACATGCTACTTCTATGAAGACTATATGTGATACCACAATGTAAGGTCCGTGACACCGTCGTCTTGTTGGACAAGAAGACCTGGCAGCTCGCGATAGTTCTAGATGATTGTCTCGCAAGTACATTGCAACGAAGAAATCATGGGTGATGGAGTGAATTGTTGCTATTGTATTGTCACCAGTGCTGACGAGCCAGCAATTGATAAATATCACAATAGCAGTCCTATGGACCTCACCTCTTCCCACGACTGGAGATAAGACTAATCAGCCAAGCCAAGTATCTGATCCGAGTCGACATTTGACTCCGTGCCAGAGTCTGAAATATCTTCTTCCTGTTCATCTTCATGCCGGCTTGTCTGTGTCTTCTTCCTCTTCCTCTCCTCTGCCTTTGCCTTGTGTTTCTGCGACAAACGTCTCGCGCCTCGCGTCTTCCAACTACGAGCTGTTAGTTTGATGGCATCCAAAGCGAGAAGAGGCACTTACAATTTTTGTCAGCTTTGCAACATCCCAACTCGCAACTTCGTCCATTCTGTCCAACATGGCATCGCTCGGATCAAGGATCCCGTTGGCCTTCTTCACCTTTTGCCTCTTGGTCTTGAACAACTTCCGCTCGATACTATCGTGAGCGTACATGTGGTACTCGTACACTTGAGCTTTCTGTCCGATGCGATTTGCTCGAGCTGTAGCCTGGAATTCCTGGTGCGGATTCCAGCTAGGCGTCAAGTGCACTACACCGTTGGCCCGGGTTAGGGTGATACCAAACGCTCCGCACTTAGTTGTAATCAGTATGAATGCGTACCTGCCGCCTTGGAAGTCGTCCACTATTCGGGTTCTTTCTTGTGGATGTACGGTTCCGTCAAACCTTGCGATCCTTTGGTCCTCTCCAAAGTTCGCTCGGAGAGCATTCTCCGCAACGTCCAGTGCTGACAGGAAATCTGAAAATATGATCATAGGTCCTCCATACTTGTCTCGGTGGTCTTTGCAGCACTTGACTAGTTCTCTCATCCTAGACGACTCATTCCATCTTGTCTTGGTTGCTTCGCGGAGAGATTTGCGGTTGTCGACGGCATCCTGGGATGTGTTGGCTACATCGTCCTCGTCTTCCGATGTTCCGTATCTGTATGTGAGACAGAGATGATGGATAATTGCAAGACGGGCCTTCATTATCTCTTTGTATGATTGGGTACCCTCCAAGGAACCATCTGGCACCCCTGCCTTGAGGTTCTCCTGATGTTGCTTTCTCGCCACCTCGTCCCATATTGTGCGCGTAGTCTGTTGGTTGGACGCTTCGCCGAATTTGAGTGTGTGGTTCACCGTAATCGCTATCGCCTCCTTGAAGTCGGCGATCAGTTTTCCGTCGAACTCATCGGTGGTTTTGAGGCGAATCGTGTGTGCCTTGATGGAGAGTGCCAGAATGGCGTTGACGTGGCCAGGTAAGGTCTGAGCTGCCGTGGTGCTCTTGTTGGTGAAGAGAAAGAACTGCTAGAAGTCAGTCTTGTCATTTCTCGTGGTCGCACGGTGCGCATCTTACTCTGTTGAAGTTGGACACCTTGTCCCACGGGGGAATCTGCAGGAACCTGTATAGGGACTGGAAGTCTGAGTACTCGTTTTGGAACGGAGTACCCGTCAACGCTAAGCGGTATTGGCCTCGCAATCCGCACGCCGCGGCAGTTGTCTTGCTCTCCCCATTGACTATCCTGTGTCCCTCCTCGAGGACAATGACGTGCCATTTTACAACACTCAACGTGCTGTTACATCGGATCGGATCGTTCCAGTACGTGGTGCTGCCATGTCGGGCAACAAATTCGTCTCTGGTCTCGCGATATGCCTTCGCGTCAAGTTGCAACTTTTCATACGTTACCAAGACGATATCGTACTGAACCAGTTGGTTTGGTGTGTACGTGGCCGTGCGACCGCGCTTTTTATCCTCCTCTGCAACTTCTGTGAGCTTTTGAATACCATCTGGATGAGCCGCTGGCAGACTTACGGTATACACAATACTTGGGGACTGGTCCCAATCGGTCCTCGATCTCCTTGACCCACATTTCCAGCAGGCTCGCTGGAACCACAACGAGATGTGGTGTCCCTGGCTTTTGCTGGATCGAAAATAAAAAGGCTGCATTGGTCAGAGACAATCATCAGACTTGCGTTTCAGGATTCTGTTGCCTACCCAAGGTGATGATGGTCTTTCCCGTGCCCATCTCAAGACCTAAGATCATGCCCTTTCCATTGTCTTCATAATCCTTGCGCAACGTCGCGTAGGTGTGGATTTGGTACTCCTTGAGCACAAGTGGCTTCTTGCTGTTCTTCAGCCTTGCGGGTGTCTCCACCTTGAGACCTGGTTGGCTGTTCGTACTGGATGCCCTGTTGGCTCCTTTTTGGACCAAGTCGTGTGCGGCTCGATAAGTCTCCTCGTCGGTTGCGACTTTCTGTTCCTCTGCCTCGGCTTCAGTCTGTGGCGCTATCGTTGGGTCCATCCACCCGGTTGGATGGATTACGTCTCGCCATCCCAATAGGAGGCTATTCTTTTCGGCCAGCTCGCGTATGCGTCGTCGTTCGTCTTGCCGATCTGCAGAAGACAGCCACTCAATCAACGGTGCCCCCGAGAACCTTGTGGGTCGACTTGCTTTGTTATAATCATACGGGTTCATCGTGTCGTTGTTTTGGGGGTGGGGGTGTAGGTCGAGTCTGTAGGTGTGATGAAGGGTTCTGTGTGTTTATATTCCTCACAAATGGGATAGCCAGGGTCTGTGCGTCCAGTGAAGGCGGCGACCAGAAGAATAAGATCATAGCACTTTGAGCAAACAGTCGGTGAGGGGTATTCAGAAATGTGTGGGTCGGACGCACGTGGCCTATCACTGTTACCAGGCGATCCTGCGCCACAGTGAAGGTGGAAAGATTCATGTACGTGCACCCTGTGGATACCTATGTCTAGATATAATAACTAGCACTGACCATTGATCTTTCCTTAACCTCATCCATTACGAAGATAACTGAATACATACCTATATGCCTTGTGCAAAATAATCAGAAGCAATGAACTAGCTGAACATTCGAAACGAGCACATTGGGTGTTGCAATCTATCGTCCAGAACAGCAAGAATGTATTGAAATTAGGTACAGTGAGTCGCAACTTGCGAAATACAGTATAACAGAGATAGGAGCGATGTGAAGTTCACTTGTCGTCTCAGTAACCCTCAATATTACTTAGAAAGATGGCTCCAGGTTTCAGATAACCATCTCTACTGGCAGTAAAGGTCGGAGGTTTTGCTGTCGAAGGGGCATGAATCAGGGGCCATGACAGCAAGCTAGTTCGAGTTAGCGGATTGCTATGATCAGGAAGCTCGTAACAGTGACTCACGTTGATGTAACCACCGTCACCCTCAGAGTTGAAGTGGTTGTCAGGACCCCACATGAAGAAGCAGTCATAGTCGGTGTTGAGGACACCAGACTTCAAGCGGACAGAGGTGAGCTCGCGCATCTGGTTAGGCTTGGAGACCTTGTAGCCCATGTTGTAGCAGACAGCGGCCTCGTTGGGCTTAGCGCGCCTGGACATCTCGGCGGTGGTAGCCTTGGTGAAAGCCTCACGAGCCTGGGAAGCGACAATGTTAGCTGGGAATCTGGCTATGGTGGATAGGGAGCGCAGCTTACAGCAGTCCAATCGGCAACGTTCTTGATGGTGTTGAGAGCCTCAGTTGCGGAAACACCGACAATGGCAGAGGCAGCACCACCGATGATGGCGATGGTAAGAGGGTCAAGACGCTTGTTCAGGGACCTTTCCTCAACTGTGCCGTTGTGAGGGTGGATAGGGGCAGTAGGGACAGCAACCGCGGCGCCGGCGAGGAGAGCGGTGACGAGAGTGAACTTCATTTTGAATGAATGATGTAGCGAGTGAACCGGGTAGTAAATGAGGGAATGTTGCGGTAGTGGAAAGGACTGAAGGCTTGAATGCTGTGATGATGAATATTGGGAAGTACTTCCCCGTGTCTTATATACCCATCGTCTTGTGCCGATCGCGAACACATGTAGCAAAGATGAGTTCTTCGGTCAAACTCTCGTTGTGATGTTGGTAAAGCCTTCAACTCTGACTCCGCCATGTGGGCTGTTTCCATGAGGCTCTTGGCTCTAAGCTTAGAGTCGTGGGGCTGATCGGCTTGACCAGGGAGATTACCGATATGTCTTGCAGATGTCGCAAACATCTGGTATCCGGTAAGACGTCAGGCTTCTTAAAGTTCAGTATAATCTTTTGCTTCCAGCACTTCTCACCAGCAAATGTCAACCATATACTGCAACGCACATTCACTGTGATCAGATGCTTGCGGTAGGCGTTTGCTGCGATTTGGATCGCATCTGGTTTCAAAGTTCATCGCATAGAAACGCGACGTCATGACATCTTGGGTACCCCAGAATCCAAGATAGTGGTTATGCGGTTAACCTACTCGAGTAGGCCGTGTGTCGTGGTCTACCCTTGGCGTCAGCATACTGTACCCGGGGATGCGCCGAATACCCGCTACTAACCACAATGAGGTGTGATCGACACCGAGAATTAAGCCGTATGGCCATTTCGGTGATTCTCATATAAAAAACGTATTCTTTCTGGCGCAATCTGCTGACATACGCTAGGGTCTGTACCGATTCAAACCGATCGAACAGCCTCAAAACAGTTGCAATGGTTGCTTGGCACAGTACGCAGGTACGTACGACGTGCGTACGTACGGTTATCACAATCATAGCAAGCACACTGGCTACCCCTAATGACTACTGTGATCGTCCGTTCTACTGCTGGCTAATCATGTAAGTGCTGTCACCTCGAGACAGTTCTGTGATTCTATATTCTCAAAGACCAATGTGGTTAGCAATGTCAACGTGTATCGCCTCCATCTCGATGTTTAGTATGAGATTCTCCACCATGCCCCTGAACCTATGGTGCGTTGATATCGCTCAATCTTGGGAACGATTCGTTGTAACTCGAGTAGAGGGAAACGCATCTGAGGAAGTTTTGTCGCATTGACGCTTATAGCACCCGTGGACCGCTGTTAGAGCCTGCTCTTCGCGGAATGTTCTTTTTTTGAGGACCGCAAGGCTTTGAATAGTGTTGCATGTAGAAGCCGTATATTAGAGGGGACGTATCTACCATGAATACGGGTTGGTGGGGTGAAGCGGGCCGGGGAGAAACAACGAGCGATCGTCATGAAGTGTGGATCAGTCGATAGCTAGGAAGTTAGACCCAGAACTGAAAAACATGAAAGGTTAGTAGAGACATCACCACTACTCTCGCCCACCCCTAACAGCACTCTCTCCGCATACTCTCGAACATCTTTACCAATTTCTGTGCTTCCACTTCCTCACAAATCTCGCCTGCTTCGAGCTTCCGCGAGAACTCCATGTGCTGTGCCACTTCAACGTTAGTAGCAAGGATATCGGTACCTTCAGCGAAGTCTTGCCACTGCTTTGAAGTAACACCCCAAACATTTCTTCGACTCTGTGCAAGAAGAAGCTCCACTCGGTCGAACTGCGCAATGAAATGCTTCCCATCATTGATTGGAGCGTTATTCTTCGCTGGTTCGAATTCGTACTCGGCGTCTTCATGCCACTTTTTGAAGAGCTCAACGAGAAAGTGATCGTCATACTGTGGCTTGAGTGGTAGATTCAAAGGTGTTTCTCGTATGGATGTCAAGCGTGAAGTGTGCCGGTTCGTTGATTGTCATGGGAGTACTGCAAGCCCTGGTGTCAGTATTGTCTCCGCCGACTCTTCATCTCATTTTCTGCCATGCTCAGCAAGAGCGACGAAGTCTAGATACGGCACTCCTTCAATCCATTCTCCGCGTGGGAACCGGTTCTCGTAGAAAGCGTCTTGTGCGGGAAATCTAGCTGTCCCACGCTCTTGAGCCATTTAGCTCGCAGCCAGTGCCTTTCGTACCGCTTCGCTCGTGCATTTAGCCCCATAAACGGGATGTATTTCGGCCACTTTGCCCGTGGTCCAAGCTCTTCTTGATGATCCTTGAGCGCCGTGGAGTTCCAAGTACGGAACGGACGGCAGCCAGCGCGCTCTTGGCCAGCTTTTCTCTTGGTAGACTGCCAGAGCTGTTATGTTCAAGTAAGGCAATTCTGTTAGCCAGCTTTCCATGGTATAAGCCTTGTGGTAGATATGTCCCAGCTTTCCAGGATAGCCTTCGAAAGCCGATCCAATCTGCTGGTGTGACTGAACTCGAGTTGGCGATGTATCGGCCCATGAGAGCACAAGGCTATTTCTTGAGTCAAACAATGCCAATTATCAAAGCGCACACTTTGCGCCGCGTCCTAAGAGCCTTGAAGTCGTGTATGCGCCGTGCCTTGCGCTTTGCCATTATGATCTTCATGTAGTGAACGCGCTTCCTGTACTGTTGTAGTTTAGTAGGTCAGCGCGAGACAACGCTATTGAGCCGGTATTGAAGGCGTAGATGCTCGAAGCTGACGCGATTCCATTACGTATAGTGCTCGAACCCGCAGCCTTAGTAAAGTCAGTGTCATCGGAATTAAACAGAAGCGCCATTACCGACCATGTTTGGATGCTTGGCTATACAGATAGCGAGCCGAGATAGCCGACTAGGTGGCCGAAGATGGAACAGAGCTGAAGTGTCAGTGAAGTGACCATATTACCTTCAGGCTGCCACGCCTTTGACATTGGTATTATCTGTGTCATAATCATCGCGAACCCCTTGAACATGTCTACTTTGCTGTAAGTAGCACAGTACTGTTTCCATCTGCAATCGTCGTAGCAAAGAAGCTTCTGTATCATGTCTCATGTTAAGATCCAGGCCGGGTTCCAAAACGACATGATATGTCAAGCGTATGAGGGACACCATATGAGAAAAGAAAAGAGATAATGCTGATCGCGTGAACAAATTCAATTACCTAGTGTACTCATGTTACTAGGCTTATCAATGCTTGAGTGCTATACGGAGTAGCCATATAGGTGATGGCACAACTACTGCCATGAGCTGCTCAGACTGGCACTCGCCTGGCACTTGGGCACGGTGTAGCTCCTGTTAGGATCACTCTCCCATGTGATCGTTCCACTGCTGCTAATCTTCACAAATTTGTATTGGATCGCTGAACCTGCTGCCAATGGCACGGTGATCGTCCAGACCGGGTTGCTAGCGGTGTAGCTGCTTGCGGACAGAGTAAGACCGTTGGCTGGTGTCCAGTTACCCAACTGCGCAGTGTTACCGGTGATCTTGATGGTGTCGCCAGGAACAGTGGTGATGCGGTGGGTGAAAGAAACCGAAACAGCTGTTGGGCAAGCAGTTGATGTGCCAGTAGCAGTAGCAGTCTTGGTGGTAAGAGTGGTTCCCGTGGTGGGCGTAGCAGTGCCAGCAACAAGAACGATGGGTTCGCCATTGCTGACGGTGACACAGATCTGACCGTTACCGTCGGCAGTAACAGCAGCGCCGTTTCCGTACACGTTGTTCCATTTTCCGTTGGCCTTCTGGGTATTGAAGCAATGCTGCTGGTTGGAACTGCTTCCAGCATTCGTGGTGAGAACGATAAGGTTGCCACCTGCACGGCTCCAGGCGTAGGCGTTGTTCGCTACGTACAAGTGGGTGTGATCGTTACCGGCAAGGCCTCCTGCAGACTTCCTTGCAGCAGTCAGCTTCTTGATGGCCTGATAGAGATTCGCGTTAGTGTTGAAGCCGCTTCGCCAGAGGTCTTCTCGGTTGGCTGGGTCGTCACCACCGGCATAGCCTTGTTCGGTACCATAGTAGAGGATGGGAATACCTCGCGCAAGGATGACGTAAGCAAGGGCGTTCTTGAGCAGAGTCTGGTCGTTCTTTACGTTCAACCAACGCTTGTTGTCGTGATTGTCGAGGAAGGTACCGAGAGCGGATGGGTCGGGGAAAGTGTTGCTGACGGTGTTCATCATGTCTACAAGCGCCTGAGCTGAACCGGTCTGTTGGTAGAAGTTGTTCATAGGGTAGTAGGTTGCGTAGTTCAAAAGACCGGGCATGAGCTTGGCGTACTCAGCAAGGTAAGTCGGGTTGCCATCGAACACTTCGCCGATGTTGTACACGCCAGTTGCAGCAGAGAAGCCAGGCCAGAAGTCTTTCTCAACGTGCTTGACGGTGTCGATTCGAACGCCATCGAAGCTGTACTCCTTGACAAGCCAAGAAACCCAAGTGTTCAACAGGTTGCGGATCTCCGTGGACTGGGTGTTGATGTCCGGGAGACCGGCAATTTGGCACTGCTCGATACTGCCCTGGTTGCTGTAGTTGATATCGCAGGCGGAGTGGTATGAGGATTGCTGGTTTAGTGGCGAAGGCTTGTTGTTGGTGATCGCACCTGGGCCCATGTGGTTGGCGACAACATCGACCATGACATAGATGCCCTGTAATGGATGAGTATACTTGTAGTCTGGGTGTCATCTGGGTTTGCCATACCTTAGCATGAGCAGTGCTGACCAAGCTCTTCAAGTCGGCAGCAGAACCGTAGTTTGAGTTGATCGAGTAGAGATCCTCAGCCCAGTAGCCATGGTATCCAGCAGCCTTGTCTGGGGCGTTTGTTAGTACGGACTCTCTGTAGATGTTGACGGGGAAAACGTGCTTGCAACGACCGGAGTGATCCAGATGGCATCAAATCCTAGCCCTTTGATGTAGTCGAGTTTGGACTCAAGACCTTTGAAGGTTCCGCCGCAGTAGTTGCCAAGATTGCTGCATGCTCCGCCGCCAGTATCGCTACTGCTGCGAGCGATGCGGTCGGTGAGAACGAAGTAGATGCTGCGAGACTTCCAGGCGCTCGTGTCGGCAGCTGCGACAAGAGAGGTGAAGTAGAAGAGGGCAGTGGTGATGAGTTTGAAGAACAACATCTTGGCCGACTCGATGCTTTTGAAAGCGGAGTGCTGAAGTCGTCAGGCTGTGATGTTTTCGTTCTGGATGAGGCCGGCCACTGGATTTATAGACGTGCCACGAGTGGGTATCACAAGGCCATACGCAGTCCCTCCGCTTACCCCACAATGTTTTGTGGATTCTGAATCGCGCTTGCCGGACGTTGCGGGTGACTTCAGCGCCTGTTCGCGATGGTCGACGATACTAAGAAATCGAAGCGTAGACGAAGAACGATGGTGTCGCGTCGGTCCGTCATGAACCCACTGAAAAAGTGTAACTAGGATGATCATCTTACAGTTGGCGATCTCTCGGGCCGAGTTGGAGGCGTCAAGTGTACCTCGTGGACGTCTGAAACATATCGGTGGATACAAGAGAACGGTCAGAGACCCGGATCAGGAAGCTGCGGAGTGTTTAGCCATTGAGTTTGCCGTCTAGGCTGTAGTAGTGGCGGAAAGCACGCGTCGCGCTGTTTTCGCGTTTTGGTCTTAGGGCGAACTAGAGGCTAGGAAGCTTCAGGGGAAATGAAGGAGGTCGCAGGGTCGAAATGATGATGCCAACGTAAGCGAGGTGATGTGCCTCGGGCCCCGGGCGTTAGCGTCATCATCACGATGGCGGAGCCCCGCATTCCGGTACTTAGCAACGTGCAAGTCAATTTAAGGTGCGGGCCGGATGCGTTTTGAGGTCTGATGACCGTCCTCTATACCCGCCAGCACGACCTGAATTTGCTGACACGCATTCATGCCGACAGCGACCCAATGAACGCTGAAGATTTTTTTCGACCACGACCAAGTTGGCAAGTCGCCGAAGAACGCTAGATGCTTCCATTAGAGCATGCACAGAAGGCGGATAGTGTCCGGTATCTAGCTCATATACCTAGTCGACGAGGCCTGGGTTTGAGGATTTCCACGAATCCACGTGTTGACGGAGATTTCAAAAAACCTGGAGCCGGACTTAGCAACGGATGACAGGGCGAAAAAAACCTGGAGTGCAGGTCTTGGAGGGCGGTAGCCATGTCAAGAACACAACACGGCCCTTCCAAGGCACCGCTTGATCAACGTGCCGACACTGATCCAATCGAAGCTAAACGTGTTACACAGGCACACGGAAAATTCAAGATCGCAGGCAAAGAACAAAACTCTCTTCTTGTGTTAGTATTTCCAGCGTTGCTCTTAGGTCATTCGCATCTTCAGATCTATTGTTGTCTCAAGGTAGTCAGCACTGTACTACCGAAAAGGCTAGATCCGTTTAAACCACCATATTCACAATTTCTTTACCTTCTCCAACAATCTCTCCAACCTTACATCCAACTCCTTGACTACATCCCATGGCCTTAGTCCTCGCCCTACACCCACGCCCATGACCTGCGAATATACACTCGCCCAAGCCGGGTACTTCTCTCTCGGGTTCCTCGGCATGCATTCGTCCCTCCATTTCCGTTCTTCTCTCACCAATAGATCAATCCGCGCTAGCAACAGATGAATTTCTCGTAATGTGGGAACGCTAGCTGCGCGGCCGATAGTATGATGTTCTGAAGGGGGCAGCATGCCTTCAGCAGCTTTCCATCGCGCTTCAGCTGCGAGGGCTAACTGGTCGAGATCTGAAGCGCGTACAGTGAGTGAGTGGAGAAGGTCATCGTGTTCGGCCCAAGCGATATCGTCGTGAGGGGTAGCTGGTGGAAGGCTGAGCGGGTGATTGGTCGAGCCTTGGGGCGCGGAGGTTGAGGACCGTGGTGTTTGTGTTGTAGGGTCTCGCGATTGTGCTGATGAACGATGCGTGAAGACTGTGGAGTAGGGCGCAAAGTCGGAGGTATGAGGTGATGCGCTAGCGGTAGAGTAGGGTGACTGGTCAGAGATTCGTGTGGCTTGTGCAGATGATCGTGAATCGTAGAATAATGGTTTTGGTGTGAGGGTTGACGCGTGAGAGGTTCGGTGTGAAGAATGAGAAGTTTGAACTGGAGAGGATGATGCTTCCTGCGAAGAGCGGGAACCCTGACTATGTGAGCCAGCTGAGGGATGAGCAGATACCCTGGATGAAAATTTACGAAGCATTTCGCAAAGTCGTGTTATGTATGTGTTGAGGTGACTGTTACATCCTGGTAATTTAGTAAGAATACTGGGAGTAATGAGGTGGTGGAAGCGCGAAACACACTGTGCTCTATCACTAATCTTAGCTGTTTACATACAGAGTGGACTTGCGAAGTGAGTGAAGCGGAACTATATTGAATGTTGCCAGGAGTATCTCAGCAACAAGGGCGAAAGAGCTCGTATTATCATCCTCTACCGTAAAGGTATTCGCAATGTTTCACTCACGTAGTTTGATATGAGGTAGGATAACGTATACACCTACCTAAGATATTGAACACAAGTTTTCGATATGAAGCTTGCTTGTAGCAGCCTAACGCAGACTACCAGTCAAGATCAATGGGAAGTCAAGGTCACCTTCACTCTCTACACGTGGAAGTATATGTCACATCTGTGTGTAGGCAGCAACACTCATCGTGTTCTTATTGAATGTTCAGCTGGTATTCAAGTAGTATACGCAACACGACAGTAGCGGAGCTAAGGTAATTTGGCCTTCCCGCTGAGCTTTAGGAACACATATCACTGCCCACGCGCCTCATGTCGTCGTCAAGCCTCATCCTACATACCAGCTCCCGATTCAACGCAGCAGGACCATCGAAGCCGGCGCCACGGTGGATGCGACACGCCACGATTACGCAAGTTGAGAGAAACTAGGTGTATTGCTATCTACGCAGAGGTGTGGGATCCACTTCCACATGTACACGATAAGGTAACTTCGAGTTTTGAATTTCAGCTGCCTAGATAGTCTGTGCCACAAGCGCTGTCAAGTCGTCGATGACAGTGTTTAGATCACCCTCGTGATTCGACAGGTCGTTGAACGATGGTAACAGTGACAACAATCTGATTCGTTGCATATCATCCGTGTACGTGTCGACATGGAGGTATGCTCTATCAGTATCCATAGCTGTCGCAAAAAGATCTCTCAGTATCTCTTCCTTGTCTTCAGTGGTGCCGTGATTGTAGGCCTCTAGTGTCTCCGCTGGTACAAGTTCGTCCAACTCTTTTCGGAAATCGCAATCGCGTTCTCGTACACCTGCCCTTGTTGGAATCAATACAGTCGTGAGCTCTTGTTGAATCATGTCGCGGAGTCGTTGAATGTCTCCATAAACTGCCCCATACCGTGCCTCGGTTTCCGGCCGGATCACGTTCTCGTTGCTGTCCCCGGTGTCATTATTCTCTTTCCTTGGTGTGGGCTCCCATCTCGATAGCGGCGCTTCGGCTTGTTTGGCAAGTCTAGTCCTGCTGTGATTTATATTCACCCTTGTGTTGACGATTGGCTGCACGAAGCGGTAAATCGATTCGTAGGTACAGAGCGCCACAGCATCCTTGTGCTCCATCCATTGTAGGGCTGCAACCGTGTCGCGGAACGACTTTGGTTCTAGGAAGTCTTCGAATCGATATATTTCCTGCGTTATCATTAGTTTTATGCGTGTCTTTGGGACCGTGTAGTGTCAGATCACCTCCTTGGAGTTTTCCCTCAACCGGAACACGCCGGCGTCGGTTAGATCCTCCAGGTAGCGAGCATAATCTTTGAGATGAAGAAGCGCTTTTCTCAGGTTGGAGCACATTTCTTTGTAGAGCACCGTCAGCTCATCAGCAAGCGCGTCGAGCTTGTCTTCGTTAAGGGAACTGATACAATGCTGTTAGCAAGACGGACAGTAGCCTGATGTTTTGACGCGCACTTACTCATCAACTGGGTTCCAGTCTTCTGTTCCGTTGCCCTCGTCCATAATGCGCTTTATCTTGGTAGTTCTGGGCGTGAACAGACGAAATTAGGTGTAATAATCAAGCCTGAGAAGCCCCGAAAGGTTGTGATCTGTATAGCAGGCTAGATTAGGCAACTTCCCAGCAAAGTGGGTCTGAACGGGTGTTTGCACCTGAAAACGTGACACACCGAAGAAAAGGCCTTATTTGGAGTGCGGGGATCACTCAATGCCAGAAAGAGCGTGTTTAGGTGAGTCTAGGTCACTGTCACTGTTTGCGGTTTCTACGTGACCTGTATAGTGCTGGTGTATAGTAGGGTATTGTAGTCCCACGTACTTATATTCTGCAATGTTTTGTGTGGAGTAACAGCTTGTGCACTTAGAAAGGTCGCCTTTACTCTGTACACATGGATGTAGATATCCTATCTATGTGCAGGCGGTGTTGGCCTCGATGGGAACCATCATGTTGACGATGGCCAATTCGTGTGCGCCGCGAAATAGAGCCAGCGTTTTCATTGCGATACCTCGCAACGAGCTGTCGAATTCTTCCATGTCTGAGAAGATAGATCCGCCGAGAGAGGAGAGACCTGTTGTTCTCATATGCACGTAACATGACCCGAGCACTCGCCAAGTAGATAACAGAGTACAGCGGCAATTGTGTCTACTAGCCAGGAACTGACTGCACGTGGAGCGTATCTGGAGCAGATCGCGTCACTCCACACCTAATATATGTAGGATGAACATTCACTGACGACTTTGCCTTCGTGTTTCTCTTTGAGCGACGTAGGGATACTCACGACATAATAGTAAGTACTGAAGGTTATCCGCGGGAATTCCTGGGTGTGGCATCTGTAGGGTGCTTTCTGTCTAGCATTTACTCTGTACACGTGGAAGTAGATTTGCATTGTGCATATGCTATGCTTAGCCAAGTTACATCAGATTGAAGTCAAGACCCCATATATAGAATAGGACTATGCCGGTGCTAGTCACGCGACAATGCTGGCGCTACTTTCAGGATCTGTTTTGTTAAACCTTCCAGAAACCACCTTGTCTCAACCTCTCGCGGCCGGCCAACACCTCAGCGGCCATCTTCTGAAGCTCTGGAGTAAACAAGAGAAGAGGACGTATCTTGTGGTGTTTCGCACCTGTGAGCTTGCGTCGCTTCGACGCCTGTTCCTCCTCCTGTTCCTCCTCCTCCTTTTGCTCCTCGCATGGAATCCGTGACTCTTCCGTCAGTTGCTTGGTCTTGTAAAGAAAGTCGATGAATATAGAATCACGCTCGATGGGAAGGTTCACTTTTCTGGCTCTCTCACGCATGGTGAAGAAGAGCGCATCTGGGACGGGTATTCTAAGGCCTTGAACCTTGGAAAAGTAAGTCGCGATCTGCCTGTTCTCTTCTGCTGAGATGTCGCGACCAAAATCGTAGAACATCTCTTCTAATTCTTTGTTGGTGGGGACGGCTGCGTTGGGAGGTGGCGCGAGCGTACTTGAGTTGCTCCCGCCCGGTTGCGTTGATGTCTCAGCTTTCTTTGGACTCGGCTTCGGCTTGGCCTCAAGCTCATCCTTGCACTCCTCTTCTTTTTGCTCCAGCTCTGTCTGCAGCTCGTCGCTGTACTTGATCTTGTATATCTTGACAGGGAAGTCTTCATGCTGTTTCCCTTCCTTGTCGTGGACGGTCAACGCAATATGCATCCTTCGGTCATCGAAAGGTTCCTGGTCAAATTAGTGTTGGCTTCAGGCAGGCTGGTGGGACCAAGCGGGTTGCATCTTACCTTGTTTGCCATCTTGGTTTCTGTGATGGATCGCGTGACGTCGCGGCTGCGGAAGCGTATGACAGTACTGTTACTTGATCTGGGTATATGAGGGAATACGTGCTCAGGTATGTGATGTAAGAAGAATGGAGTGAAGGGCAGGAAGAGACGCGGTTTTATATCATCTTTCCAGGGTCCAGGGTGAGAGAGACGAAGTGTATCGCTATTCATACAGAGTTGCGGGACCCACTTCCATGTGTACAAGTGAAGGTGACTTTGAGTTTTAGGTTTTCCTAACAGCTGCCTAGACAGTCTGCACAGCATGAAAACTCAGCCACATATCTTGCACATCTCGGACCTTCTTATTGATAGTCGCTGAGCTTGCTCGTAGATGCGCGGTTTACCATCTTGCATTCAGTGAGATTCGCAAGGTCAGCGTCGTAGTCTCACGTACTCATGGTCTGCAATGTTCCATATGAAGTAAGAGCTTGTGCACTTAGAAGTATTTGATGGCATAGTAACTATCCTCCGGCTGGCCCCGTTGGGTATTGTCCTTGAGTATGCAATATTTCCAACTTGTTCCGTCCCGCTCCTACTTCTTGTGCACCAAACACAACAGCGACGCAAAGGGATCAACACCGTTACTTTCAGTATTGGCCTTCTTCGAATCTTTCTTCTTGGAGATGGTTGTAGTCAATGTTGGAGGGAGCTTCACAACAATCTTTTCCCTCGTCATCTCCATCTGCAGCATATGCTTTTGAGTGCTTTTGTCCACGGACTTCTTGATCTCTTCCTCTGCTTGCCCCAGGCCCTGGGCAAGATCCTCAGCATAACCGACTTTCTTCCCAATCCCAATGCTGTGCTGCGTTCCGACTTCTTTGCCTTGCACCAGGCCCATATTCAGTCCTTCTGCCTGCCCCTGTTCAAACCCGACTGCTAAGCCTTCCGTTATGCCGGTGCTCCTGCCCTCCTTGATGCCTTGAACGTATCCATAGTCTTTTCCAGCATGAAACCCACGATCGTAGGCTTCTTTGCGAGCCTTGGGCAGTAAATCCCAAAGGGATATTGTTGCTGCGTCGGTCTGTACCGCGCATGAAGCTGTCAAGGCGGAAGTTTGGGTAGCCTGTGAGACCGAAGTGGCTGCGCCAGGATTAATGAGGGTTTGTAAAAGAGGTTGGTGTGCATACTGGCATCGAAAACGCGCAGGAGCGTCTCGTAGATTGCAAGCTATCCAATTAGTCAAGGCAGACGACAAGCCAAGACAAACTCGCCTGGGTCTGCTTCAGCTGCACCTCATCGAGGCTTTTGTCTTCTTCGTGAAGGCCCGCGAGGAAAGTCTCAAGCGAGACACGATTGGGCTCGATCTTGTTGGCCTCGCGGGCGCTATCGAGCAGAACTTGCAAGCGGTCTGATGTGGGCATCATTGGCATGCTGTAAGTGTAGTGAGGTTGTTGACAAGGCAAGAGATCGGGTTAGGTACAAGGAGCTGTCAACAGAGCTAGGGCTTGGCGAATATCAAATGGGTAGACGGCATAGAGACGGCTTCACCCCTCATCGGGTATCATTATACCATAATCCATCCTGAATCACTCGTGGCTCGATTTACAGTTTGTTTGACTTCCACAACATCTGTCAAGGCATCCATGCTCCGATATGATTTGCGCCTATCGTGGAACATCATGATCCACGACTTCTACATTGTTCCTACACTGGTCAGATGGATACAGTAACGATGGACTGGCGACGACATTTACCCAACAGGATCCATTACAAAGGCAGCATAGTACTTGGCATGGTACTGGTGCCTCCATCCCGGCTTCCCATTATCTTTCCCACCTGCTTTCACCGCTTCTTCATGGAATTTTTCCACCGTCTTTCTATCTGTACACCGAAACGCGACATGAGTAGCAGCTGCTTCTGTATCCTCCTTGGCGGTAATAAAGAAAACGATGTTTGACCTGTCCGGACCTAGACCGACACTGCGGTTATGGAATTCCTTGTGTTTGCTGTAACCAAGCGGCGCAAGCGCGGTCAAGTACCAGGCTGTGACTTCTTCGAAACGTGATGTCGGAACGGTAATGCCAATGTGGTCAAGCATCGTAGAACATACGAAAGGAACAAAGGGGTATCTGGTGTATGAAGTACTACCAGAGGCCTACATATTTAACAGAACGATGGACGTCAAGACTGCTTACTTACCAACCGCAATTGATACGGCTTGGAAATCCGGATAGAGGCTGAGTGCGGGGCTGACTAGTCCATTTGCTCAGTAAGCACACGCGAAACCAGCTGCTTCTCAGATGTCAGACTCGCGTATGACCATAGGGCGCAACTTTCTCTCAAGACAAAAGAAAATGTGAAATCTGAATTGACATTCAATCCAAAGCGACGTAGACGGACATGCGTATGGGGAACCATACAGAAAACTAACTAATAATACAAACATAGCACATGCTATACAGTTCCACACGATTCGGCTCCGCGAGCTACTCGTCTGCGGTACAGTTCCTTCATAATCTCCATTTGGCTGCACCGCGACTAATAGTCAAACCGATCTGGCAGCACGAGAGGAGCGACCAACGTCCATGTGTAGATGCCGTAGCAGACCCATGCGCTAATGATCTTTGCCCAGCTGGCCCAGTATGTTCGTCCAACGGGGACGAAACTACCAGACACATCCTTCTCGTCGAAGTTGGTGGTGAGGAGAGTAGCGACCCATGTTGTGCTGAGGAAGAAGATGATGTGGAAGAGAGTGTAGTTGTATTGCGTCGCGTTGCGCTCGTCATCGCGCGGGTTCTTCTTGCTAGAAGGCTCATCATCCTCGTCCTCGCTGTCTGAGTCGTCGAGAGCAGAAGCAGGAAGCGAGCCGGACTCTACAGCAGCACGCAGGGCGGCCTGGCGCATGTCGCGGCGGGACTCAGGTTGCTGTGTGACGAGACCATGCTCGTAGTCTTCAGTGCCGACTTGAGCGTAGCCGTTTCCGTGAGGGTTGCCCTGGGCGCCAAGAGCGAGGCCGTACGTTGCTGCGCGGGTAGTGGTGTAGGCAACAGTGACAAAAGTGACAATGGCGCCGATGATGATAGTCGCCTTACGAGTTCCACGGGCGCGGATCAAGGGGTTGCATTGATGGTCGTCAGGTTCCATGCCCACAGCAGACAAGGTGAGATAAGTGCAGTAGACGGCTACGATGGCGGACTGTGCGAGACCTGCTCGGGGGTTGACGTCCTGTACTGCGGGGTGAATCGATGCGACGGATGAAATCAGGAGCAGGATCAAGTTGATCTGTTGAGGTCAGCCAGCTTCGGAAAACATAAGAGAGCTGTACTTACCGTGATAGCTGCCTGGTTCATGCCACATCCGCTCTTCGCAAAGAAAATGTACATGATTATGGTCATGGCGATCGAGGCGAGGTACATGGACATGGCACTACCAACAAGCATGCCTGTCCAGACGCGCGACTCGGTAGTCTCAATCTTCTCCTGGCAGTATTCGGCCCAGTTATGCGCCAGATCGACAAGCAAAATGAGTCCAATGAGAAGGAACAGACACGCGCCAATCATGGCAAAATAGTTGCCCCAGACGATGAAGAACGAGTTAGGGATGAAAAAGGTCAGAACGATCATGCCAATCCAGCCCATGATCTTGGGAAGCCAGAAACCGTTCTGTATGGTCGCGCGACCGTCCTTGGAAGACCGAACTCCGATGAGCATGAGCGCCATGATGACGTGGAAGAAACCGAGCGCGAAGTTGATGCGCTGTACTGCGACATATCCGTAACATTGTTCGCCGTGGCATTTGATGTCGACGTAGTCCAGGGTGAGGTGAGCCAGCTTCTTCATAGCCCAGTCGGTGAGCATGATCCATGAAACAATCGAGTTGACCAGAAGGATGAGCGCGTATGCGATACGGGTGGCGATGCTACGCGATAGTCAGTACACGTTCGCACATATCGCCCAACGCTCGCAAGCCGTACCTGTTACCGCATTTCCCTCCGCAAGAGCCCATGACGGCGCTGCATGTCGCGGCGCCACAGCAGGAGGCGGCAACGCTCCAAACCTGGCCATGTTAGCGGCGCGCAATCGCGGTGGAGCGTGTCAACGTACCGTGCCCATGGCGGGCATGGCCAGAAAGGGTACAGATAGTAAGGCGCCCATGATTGAGATGCGCTGAGTCGCCTATGTGGTGTTGTGGAGAAGCTGGGGGAGGCACGAGGATGAGGCCGGTGACGTTCGCGCGCTTGCATTGCGGCTCCTTCCGCCAAGTCCAGCGCCTTGGCCGCCTTATCTCCGATCAGCTGGAACGGCCATGCTTCACTTGCACTCTCCCATCCACTCTTCAGACATCGGAGTGGTGTCCCGGGGCCCGCCTGACTTTTTGTTCGTTTAGTACTATAGACTTCCTTCACGTCCCTCTTTTCCGTGCGCCTTATCTTGCATATCTTTACCTGCGGCATCTGCTTCTCGGCTTAGCAAGTGCCGATATCAGCTCCAGTCCGCTGCGATTGCGCAACTCGACGTCTCCCGCATTCGATGATCAGCACATTGCAATAACACCTCATTCACACTGACCAAGATGGTCGCCGAAGAACAGCCCTCCACACACAAGAAGACGCGCATTATTTCTGTTGTCGCCGCGACCGCAATCGCGCTTGCCTGTGGCACAAATGTACGTCTCCGTCATACACCTGAAGCGGGATGCTAATGAGCCTCAGTATGCCTACTCAGCATGGGCACCACAATTCGCCGATAAGCTTCAACTCTCCGCGACCCAGAGTAATGTCGTCGTATGTCACCCCATATGCCGCCCAAATACGAACTTCTTCTTATAATCCTAGGGCACGGCTGCCAACTTGGGCATGTATGCGTCTGGCATACCCATGGGCATCATAACGGACAGGAAGAGCCCCAGACTTGCCGCGATTATTGGCACGTTTGCGCTCTTTGCAGGCTATTATCCCATCAAGCTTGGTAGGATATCCCATACCCCGTTGTTGGATCAACGTTTGACTGTTGGCAGCGTACGATGGAGGCCCAGGCTACATGAGCGTTGCTCTGATATCCTTTTGTTCCTTCTTGAGTGGTGTGGGCAGCTGTGCTGCATTCCAGGCCGCTTTAAAGACAGGTAAAAACCTCGACAGCCTTTGGGGGACAACCGCTGACCTTGGTAGCGACGCTCAACTGGCCAACCCATCGCGGATCGGCCACCGCTTGCCCATTGGCAGCTTTTGGCTTGAGCGCCTTTTTCTACACTCTCATCGCCGGCATAGCATTCCCAGGCGATACCTCCGGACTGCTCATGATGCTTTCTCTTGCGACCTCACTAGTCGTTCTAGTATCGATACCCTTCCTAATCGTCGTCGACCACAAAGCTGGCACTGGCTATGCTGTCCTACCCACCAGCGAACGTGTGCGACGCAACTCCAACGTCCTCCATAAGACAAAGTCCAACGGGACCAGGTACAAGTCATCTGCTCTCCCACAGCAGGAAATCAGTAAGCGATCCTTTCCTTTCCCACCTCCGTTTCCCCCCGTCACCTGCCAACCGCTTCTAGCAGCCGAAGAAGAACAGGATCGACCATCAACCGAAACCTCGTCTCTCTTATCTTCTGGTCCTGGCGACATCATCGACGATGACGACGACGCAGCAAGCAAGAAGTCGACTAAGTCATGTATAGATATTACTGGGCTGGCACTCTTGAGCAAATCGGAATTCTGGCAACTGTGGGTGCTCATGGGTCTCCTGACAGGTGTTGGTTTAATGACTATCAAGTACGTATCCTCTGAATCGTAAGTGTCATCACCGCTGATCAGTACAGCAATATCGGCCACGATGTCCAGGCTCTCTGGAAACACTGGGATGACTCGATCAAGAACGATTTCGTCGCTCATCGACAACTTTGGCACGTCTCGATGATCTCGCTCTGTTCATTCCTAGGACGTCTATCTTCCGGAATCGGTTCCGATTTCATCGTCAAGAGACTGCATCACTCGCGATTTTGGTGTGCTGCCATTTCAGCCACCATTTTTGCCCTGGCTCAGGTCGCTGCCATCCGTGTTGAAGACCCGCATCATCTGTGGGCTGTATCCGGACTCTCCGGTCTCGCATATGGTGTTTTGTTTGGCGTTTTCCCGGCGCTTGTCGTCGATGCTTTCGGCCCCGATGGCTTCGCTGTCAACTGGGGTTTCATGACTTTGGCACCCGTCGTGAGCGGCAACATCTACAATCTCTTCTATGGCGCTGTATATGACTCTAACTCAGTGGTGGAACCGGATGGTCAACGCGGATGTGAGCTGGGGCTCAAGTGTTACCGAACGGCGTACTATGTTACTCTCACATCGAGCATATTGGGCATCTTCGCTTGTTTCTGGGGTATTTACGGCGAGCATGTAAGGAAGAGGCGTGAGCTGGAAGAGCATGATGGACATAGAGATGCTTGATCTTGTCTCATTATTTCAGGTCAAACTAGTATGGAAGCGATGACAGAACGTATCCTTGAGCCTGCCTACGCCTATTGGTACGCTATGGCGTATGGCCATTCGTGTCTCCTGTCACGCCGGGGTTGTTACCAGCAATTCGAGCCATGACATTCGTTTGACCATCTTCTCGTAGTGTAATTGTTGCCACTATACACAACCCCGTAATCCTTCCAACATCCACCATCGTTCTTGACAACCGGGTTGAGGTAGCTGGGTCGCGCCAGCCTCTACTCTTCCTGTAGCGAACCTAAGCCGAACATCTCATTGGACGAATACAACGAGCACTGCCCGCCTTCATGTATAGTGTTCTCGTGTCCATGAAAAGTTTCGCCTCCTTCTTCATTTACCTTGTGATTGGTGTGACAACGGCTGCTTGGCTACATGTAGGTTCGGCAGCCGTAGATGTGGCTTCCATACATGCGCTGTGCATGTAAGACACAAAAGATGATGATAATGGCTCCGCAAGTTGGTACAGTCAGTAGTTGAATACATCATATTCTCAGAGAGAAACAGAAATGTGGTTTCTCATCCGGTATCAGCAGGTGCTTTGGGCTTGGCCTTTGATCCGGTAGGTCTCCCCACTCTCGCACAGCGTACGATCGGTGGACGTAATCTGGGACGACCGACAGGGCGCTTCGAGACAGTGGGTACGAGCTCTGGCGGTGGAGGCTTAGACTTGGTCTCTTGACGCTTGGATTTGTTCCTCGATCCTGGGGGCCTTCCTGTAATGTGGCCATTGGTTGGCACCTTGATATTCTCTGGAATCCGGCCACCGCGTGGAATAGGCTCCCTTTGCGACCATGTCTTCAAGGGTCGACCTACAGGTCTAGGCTTCTTGACAACTTTCTCAGCCATTGCTTCCTTTGTAGAACCCTTTGGACGGCCTCGGGGTTTCTTCTCTACTTCGACAACAGGAAGGTCTTCGTCTTCACTGGGTGTAATCTGGCGGATAAGTTTGACGGTTTCCTGGTCAAGAGTGACTCTGTCTGGGAAGATAGGCGAGCCCATCCAGGTCAGCTGGATATCTTTCATAGTTCCTGCATTCTTGAACTTGGCCCGGATCTTCATTGATACCTTTTCGTCCTCGTCTACTTCCTCCCCAGGCTCGACCAGTAGAGCCCGCGGAGTATGCCTCAATGTGACACCCACTCCTTCTAGTCCTTTTTCGGATGCCATCCGGTTCCAAACAAATTGCTCGATCAATCCTTCCCGAGAAACGAGTACAAATCCCATAGGCCACCGACTCTGTCCTAGAGCCCTCAAGACACCCGTCGTCGCCTTCTTTGTCGTGACCAACAAGCCCATAACATCCTTGTTTCGCCAGGCTGGTGGTATCCCTTGGAAAGATCCTTCGAGTTCGCGAACGTGGCCCGGGTTGCAGCTGATTTTGCGTGACTTGCACTGTACGATGATAGGCATGGGTTCTCTTAGAGGCGTCAGCACCCAATGGCCTATCAAATCTATGCCCTCATCTCCCCCACGGCCCACGCGTATGAGGGAGAAGCCTAGACGCATGAGCGCCAGTGCAGACATGTATTCATACAGCGTACCGACAGAGACAGCCGACGCCAATGATTTGCCGGTACGTTCCGCCCATTCGAGGAAAGAAGGAAGCGAGTTGTGATGTTTCGAGCCAGGCGAAACTACCAAGCTGGGGAGATCAACGGGTGCGGCATGGCGGGCAGAAGTGGTCGCGATTCGGTGCGAGACGCGGTGCGGAGTAGTCCTGGGGAGCCATGCGAGGATGGGACTTCGTTTGGGCCATGATGGGCGGAGGAAAGGTCGCATCACGGTATCCTAAAAGAGCGCCCGGGGTGTGACATATTTGAAGCGACTTGACGCGGCCGAGGGTCAAAGCCGGTGTCTGGCGTTGGTGAGGGTGGAGTAGAGGGAAGGAGGATTCGCGTATATTTTGAGGGTTCAGTGACGCGCTAGGCTAGCTCCACCGCCATCCCTGCCTGTCGCATCCCACCACTCGTACTCTCTTTCAACAAACATACTCAGTCCAAAGTCGCCAGATCTTCCCCTCTGCCAACCTTCTCGGTATCCAATTGAAAGCGACCGTATCACTCCTCCTACAAGACCCGTACAAACCTGCTACCATGGGCGACATCCTCACCCAAATCCAAGATGAACTGGACATGGTACTGCCCATACAAATACCAGAACGTGTCTCGTGCTGATAAAGACAGCTCCTGAACCAGATGTCAGCTGCTCTACGTGAAATTCGCGAGAATGCTCCACCAAGCGTTCCCCCAGGCCAGCCCCGCCTCGACACCTTCGCGGAACTGGAAGCTCGCACCGCTGCCGAAAACGCCCAGCAGAACCCCACGACAGATGCCTCACAGCAGGCAACTGCGCCTCCCGCCAGATCTTCCCCGGAACAGTTTCAAAAGGATCTCAAGGAGCTCGCACAGGACATAACGTTGAAGGAACAGCAGATTGAGAGATTGATCGCACACCTGCCGGGTTTGAATTGGAGCGAGAAGGAGCAAGTAGAGAGGATGAAAGAACTCGAGCGACAACTGGAAGATTTAGAGGGGGAGAGGATAAAGGCAGTCAAGGATAAGGACACCTTGTTGAAGATTGTAGAAGACAAGATAGCAGGCGTGGGCAGGGTTCGATGAGCTATTGATTTGCCAAAGCACGCATCCTTGGCGACGACAACGGTTTACATTGACCCCATACGACTTGCTCCAGTTTGGGTGTCATGGATCTGGGGGATTGAGGCTTGAACCCACCGTCAACGGAGCCGCGATGATCATGCTTCAGGAATGCCAGGAACCGTCTTCTCGCCAAAACACATTACTCGTTGCCCTCGACCAACTTGACTGAAACTACAACTTCTCTTTGAAGTACGACACAGATACGGACTTGGTATCGCTACGAGGGTGTTCAGGATGTTAACGACTAAGCACGAACAACTCTACGACGTCCCTTGAGCGGTCGCGGATACGGGGAGCTTCGACAGGTTTATCGGATCTCAGAGACCAGTGAGCTAGTACATGCGTGAGCTGCCAGCTACACAAGCGGGCTCGGCCTACTTTCTTGCCAACTCCGTGTATACCGTGGCAAATTTCCAGGGCTTAAAGGACAATGAGTGGAAAAGGACGTATAGTCATTTGAGTGGCCTAGTAAGCGACAACAGCATGCTTGAATTGCTAGCTGTTGCTCGGGATGTTGCGGAGAATTTGCCAGAATAAGCGCGGGATCATTGCAATCAGGAGCCATAGACGCAGAAGAGATAAGCATGAGAGGATTGTTTGTTAACACGGAAGATGCGACGCGCCTCGATCCATCAGACCCGTTCTAGCACCGACTTGTGCCTACCACTTGTACACAGATATCATAACGTTATGTTGTAGTCCCCGCACCGACGCTCACTACAACATGTTGCTTGTTCAAGCCTCGCACTTAGTCGCTCTTCTCGACATCAGTCTTGGACACGATATGATAACCACCAACGTCGTCGCTCTTAACCTTGACCATACCACACTCGCTTAACCACAGGCTATTCACCGATGTATCGACGTCCTCAGCATGGTAAACCTTCTTTGGTGTCACTGATCTCCTTACGATCACGTATTGAGGCTTTCCATTACTCTTCTTCACCTGTCTATCCTCATCATCACTGTACACTGACTGCGCAGGCTCGTGGACACTCTCAGAACTCTTGACCCCGAAAAGCTTGCCAAACAACGATGTTATTCTCGATTTTGACTCTTTTCCCGCGGCTGCTCGTTTCGCCGCCTTCTCGTCTTTACGGTCTAGACGTCTATCGCGGCGTTTTTGCCGTCGGATCTGACCTTCAAGTCGCTGAATCTCGTGAGCTTCTTCGCGTGAAGTGGCTTGCGCGAGCTCATCTGGGTCATCGAAGAGGCCATAGGTGCCGGTGTGTGCTTGGCCGCGGGCATCTGTCGGCATCGTAAGCGTGAAAGGCGACTGATATGGTGGGATGAAGCCCTGTGTTTTGGAGAAGGCTGGTACTGGGATCGCGTGAGCTGTACGTGGGGTATGCTGGTATGAAAGTTGAGCGCTGGCCTCGCTGATGACTCTCCGCGATGACGATAATAGTACAGGTGGCGTGGGGATAGTAGGCGCATGAGACAACCAATTGTCATGGTATGTGACATGATTGCCACACCATTACTGTTCGCCAGGCAAACACAGCGTTGTAAACTATTGAATCACAGAACAGCACATCACACAAGTCGTTGTCACGCTCCTCTGACTCACATCAGCTTACCATTCTTGGACACCCTGGAGCATGGTCAGCGTCATTTTGGTAGCAAACTAGCCTCATCTATGTTCCAAAGCAAACCATACAAATGCCTCCTATTACTACACTTTCCTACCACCCACTAAAGCCTCCTGAGCCTCCCTGACCAACCCCTCCAGCGCATCCACCTCCCACTCCATTTGCCTTCCATACTCCGCTTCTGAGCGAACTCCACCACGATACACTCTTGCAATTTGTTTGAAACGCTCTGTAGCCATTAATAATTGTGGCCTATATTCTTCAATCTTGGCTAGCATCTGCATATTGAAGAGCTCAGGTACGATGCAGTAATAGGCTTCTTGCATGACGGCCAGGAGCTCGTTGGCTAGGCATGTGACTCTTTCGTAGTGGATGAAGAAGGTTTGCAGGTCACTTTGAGGACAGCGTTGGCGCGGTGGCGTGTATAGGATAGGGGGTTAAACGGAGTGTTACGGGGGATATTCGACCGTTCGGTAGGTCTGGAGTTAGTTTTGTGGATGTTGTTGTGGCGTTGGGACTTGGACTTTCGTTGGAGAGCCATGCAGGTGTGTTTGATGCTGGAAGGTTAGTAGCTACGGAGAGGGTTCAGGAACTGTTTGTAAACATCGAGTGAACGAGCTGTAGGGTATCTGACGAGGGCTTGAGTCAAAGTTCTTCTGATGTGAAGGTATATGACGTGTTCCATTGAAGTCAAGCGCTGCATTCTTGCATTTGGCATCATTTCTGTAGCAGTTTTGGTCGTTCTTGTAAGAAACTTGATAGTAATAATTGTTGTCTGGTTGTCCCTAGTCCTGTTTCCACCCAATGAACGCCGAGATGTGCCAACCCATCTTTACCCATAACACCGCGCAATTCCCCTATACTTATCATTTTGAAGCAAGTGAAAATCTCATCTTACAGCACGTCTACTGATGTATCTGGCTGACGTGGCCTGCCTGACCAGCACCACCCCACTCACTGTCATCATCACTGCCAACATCTGTCCAGGAAGTGGGTGTCATGATGCCCTGTCTGTCGTTGTCGAACTCGCTGAAGCCGCCCTCTGAAAAAGCATCTGTGAAGCCGCCTTCGGAACGCGCGTCGTGGTCCGTGTCGTTCTGTTCGCTGTTCGGCATGCTAAGGATGGCGACATCGTTGGCTTGACTGTCAGTGATTGAGGCAGCACTCATGGTCATTGAGCGCTCGGAGCGGGGCGTCAGGGTACCGGTGGAGACGTGCTCAGCGTCGTCATCGAAGAAGGGGTGAGATGGAGCAGGTTCGCCTGCTTCCGAGGTGGAGGATGTGAAGGAGTAGAATGATTGCGCGGCTTGGTCAACGTCATCCTGTGCGGGCTGTGCGGGCGAAGAGGTCTCAGGAATGGAAGTCTCAGGGTCGGGTGTGAGGTCGACGAGTGTACCAGTGGCGGGTGTTGAGACGACCTCGGGCTGAATGGTAGCAGAGCTTTCGCGAGTGGCAGGTTCTTCGTAAATGAACTCCTTGGGTGCGGGTGCGTCTTCGTCGTAGTCATGGTCGAATAGTACTTGGTCGTCAGAGAAGGGGTTGGCCATGGCAGCAGCGGCAGCCGAGCCGGCGGCAAAGCCAGCAGCACCGCGCTTCTTGAGATTGCCATTCGAGTTGTCCGTACCAGTTGCCGTTGCGTTGTCCCTGAGCATGCCATCGCTGCCAACCATGTCATCGAAGCTCCTCGTCCGATCAGCCCTCGACCTCTTTGCAGCCACCTCGGCCGTCTCAGCACCGATCCTAGCCAGTTCATCCAAGTCGACAGCAACGCCCTCTTCCCTTGCCCGCCTGATCAGTTCATTCCTGTTTCTCCTGACCAACTCTTCTCTTCTGCGCTTCCTCGCTTCAAAATCATCGGACGATTCGCTTGGGCGGCGAGGCTGGATGTCATCGCCAAGGTTGTGCAGCGCGACGGCGATCTTGCGACGGGTCTGGTCGGCCCATTGTCGGACTTGAGGCGATTCGTAGATGGCGATTCCGGCGGCGACGATAACGGACGCGGCGATTATGAGGCCTGATGTGAAGGGGTGGTTAGGACGATGCGGCGGGGTTTGAGTGATGCCTGGCGAAGACGCCAAGTGCGAGCCGGTGCCTGCAAGCAGGTTGGCATAGGAAAACAGAGATATGAACAGACTTGGGATAGGAAGGGAAGAATAGGGAAATCGCTGGGGCAGCACTACAGCGACGTGCATAAGTGGAGTTATTCGTACTCACCTTTGGCCAGTGGCGCAGGCATGACTGCGGACTTTTGTAGCAGCGGGTGCAGTCTGCTATTCGAAGAAGCCCTTAGAAAGTGTAGTGGAAAGGAGGAAAGGGACAAACCCAGAAGCTTTTGTCCTTGAGCGAGCGTGTAAGGAGAGAAGGCTCGAGAGCTGGGGAGAGCAGTCGGTGGTTAGGTCATCGCCACTTGCACAGCCGCACCATGCAGGGCCCGTGGAGCTCCGGGCGGCTTTTGGTGGGGTCGCGTGCCGCTATCTTGCTGCATGCGAAGCCTATCGCCCCGCGTCCCTTAGTCTAACTTCATAACCGTTCCCCTATCATGAGCATAACTTGGACTCAGTTGCGCACATTTCCACATGTGCACAACACATCTAACAAGCACTCTACGATTGTGAACAAGGGCGCAGTAGAACGATCTATCACATGTCATGAAACTCCAGAATTATACACGCTGAATGATATTGGACTTTTAGAGAGCTAAAACTTGACACTAAACTGTAAATAAACCCAAAAGAAAAGCATGCCGATATCTGTAAGCCAAGCTGTAGTCATGAAAGTTAGCCTGACCTTTCAGATGCCGTGGCAATCTGTTCGAGTAGCCTCCCTATTTAGCTTGGCATGGAGATGTACATCCATGATTGAGCTATCCTGACGAACGCTTGCAAGAACTTTTCTTCTGGAAGATACTAAAAATGCCGATGATTGCAAAAGACTCAATGAAGACAGAATGGATTGCAGTGGAGAAGAAAATATGAAGCCAAAGGGGAAACGGGGAAGGTGGGAACGGAGGGCAAGCAAACAAAGTGTATGAAAAATCGGAAATCGGAAGACATGGATCTCTACCTGTATCATGTTGGGTCGGCAAAGATAGAAACTTCAGACTGAAAGAGGGTGTCGATCGTTGTGTGCCTCCATTGACTTGGCTGTCCAACTCAAGCCATCGTGTCATGTACAAGAGGTTGGGGTAGAGTCTGAGTAGACATGATGGCACTGATCGACAACAGTGGGCGTTTCTTTGTGCATCCGCAAGTCTTGCAGCACTTGCGCTTGCGCTTGTCATGTTTGTCCTGGTCGTGTTGATCCTGATCGTTTTTGCGCTTGTTGCTGTTGTCTTGAGCTTCGTCCGAAGCAAGAGGCTTCCGCACCCAATCTGGGACCCACATCTTCTTGGTCTTTTCCCAAACCCAAGGCTGCCCACTGTTCTCAAAACTTCGGATAGGTCGGTGGGAACCATACATGTACAACCGCGTGCCATCCCAAGGCCAGACATCCACGGTTCTAGAGTCGGAGATTGGTCCACAGAATAACCATTCGTAGTCATGACCTTTCGCGCAGATCGAATCTCGTCTAACACTACCGAATGGCCCCTCTTCCTTTAGGTTGCAGTTGCGTATCTCCGTGATAGAAATGCACATGTCAGCACCGGATTCCTCCAACTGCTCTGGAGTAATGGTACCGCCGTACTGTTCTCTTGCTTTGCGATGGATCCAAACAGGTATATCGACGTCTCGCCAGATCATCTTCGACTTCTCAAGCTCCTTGGAGCCCGGTTCCTTTGTCAAAATGCAGATCTTGGATTCGCATTTGGCGTGCACAGTTGCCGGAATCAGTCCGGTTGTGTTGATGCAGGCGATGCTGACACGTTGGCCAATACGCTGACTCTCGTCATAATGAAAGCCTGCTCGTCTCTTTGCATGTGCTCAACAGATGTTAGTAAACAAGAGCAACCATCTGTAGGACAAGACTCACAAAGTTCGTTGAAGACAGAAACGTACCCAGAAGGGTCTTTCTTCTGGTTCCAGACAAGATGTCGCTCGATGCCTTCCCTGTGCAAGTAGTCATGAACTGTGAACCTAGCCACAGGTTGGAAAGCCATTCCATCTTGGATCACCAACGTCTTTCTCTTGCGATGCTTGACGTGCGTGTCAATGGATACGTATTTGCTCAATGTAGCCGAGGTCTCATAGAAGGTTCGGTAGAAACGCTCCGGCAACGTGTTGGCTTGGCCACGAAGAAGCTCGTCTTGTTCGCGAAACGTGCTGTGTTTTGTAAGTATGAAGTTCATATAGGGACGACGAGGGTTGCACTTACATCCGGACGGGATCCAACAGCTTCGATATGATCACTCTGCGTTGGTTCTTGGCAAGCTCGCCATGGAAGTCCGGATCCTCTTCTGTTGCCTCGGGGTCGATCTCTTGGCTGGCGTCCATAGCTTCGTTAAGTACAGAAGCAAGCGGAGAAGACGCGGTAGGCATAGAAGGTGCCATGGCTGTTTGATTAATGCGGCAAGTGGTATCTCATGGGTTGGAGGAGAGTTGGTAAAATAGTATGAGCTAGAGAGATGGTAGAATGGAATTATAAGGTGTCAGAAGGTAAAATATATGTACGAAGGGACGATGGGATAGATCAATTGGTCTCTCACATGGGAACGTGAGAGGTAAAGGTACGACTTAGCCGTCTTGCAAGTAGTGAGAGAGAATGGTGGCTGTTTCTAGCCATTTTGCTGTAAGACGGTGAGAGACATGTGCACTTGAATCGTGGTGAGAGCACTCCGCAGACTCAGCCGTAACCGCCAGATATAGTGCTGGAAAAGACTTGGTCCCCATCCAGTTGATGTACGCATTATAACAACCCATTTCCCAACTAGTGGCCTTCAAAACCATCGACAGTCCAGGAAAGAGACCGCTTGATAGTATGCCAGGTACCAGTACGTCAGCAAGGCCAATGAAGAATCTCCGGGTTGTCAAGGTCGACGATGTATTCGATGTGTTTCCGAACGCAGAGGATCTTTCCCCCAAGATCTTAAAAAGGATGGCGAAAGACCTGGGCTCATCATATGAACTGAAGCAGACGCCTTCGATTGTAAGTCTATGTCAATGGAAAGCTGGCAATGGTTGTTGATGTTTCCAGGATCTACGCAGAGAAATGCAGCGTTACAGACGCGTTGTGGAACCAGCAGTGACCTCGTTTAATTTTTACAAGTTGAACGCATTCGTCTATGACAACTCAAGCGATGAGCGGGTCGAGTGGATGTATGCGGAGTTACAGGCCCAAGGGATGAAGTTGAAAAAGAAAGAAGAGGCCGTTGCGGAAGTTCGGGTGGAGCCAGAAAAGAAGAGGAGTTTCTTGAGTTTGTGCTTGGACCAGAGGGGAGACGCAAAAGTACGAGCGGCATGCAACGAGTCACAGATGTCATCGCGGCGATGGAGTACCTGTTTCATGATCGAGGAAGCACTGCTTGACGAGAGACGGGGAGTACCAGAAGCGACATTTCTAGTCTCTGCATATCTCAAACTGAGCAGGGAAGGAAGCTCAGGAGATAGCCTGCTTGTCCGCGGCTAGGTTCCACCTAGGAGTCAAAGGATACATACACACAAAGCTGAACCCTCGGTGATCAATGTCGTTTTATCGTGTGGCGATCAAAACATCATGAATTGTGAGACGAAGTCGAACTTGCTCACACTAGCCCACCCTCCGCCAAGAGCTGCGCGTGTCTGATTGGCGGTCGCAACCGCGTCTCAGCGAGCTGCCACTTGCGACACGCAGCACTCGGACGTTCCACCACCACATTCCTGATTATCACAATCAGACGTCTCTCGCTGTAGCTACAATGAGCTCGTCTATAGAGACTGAGATTTTGAACAAGTACAATCTCACGACACTGTACCCCGCAACCTGGCCAGAGGAGAAGGACGAGGCCGACGAAGAGGATACGTTCGACGAGCCGGTGCCCAAAGCTACCCCACAAGCGATACGCCGGTCCAAGTCGCGATACTCGGTATTAGAGCCTAGCTCAAGATACTCACGGCAAGTGCCCGGTGCAGAACGATCCAAGGATGGCGTGGAGACATTGGTGCAGAAGGACGAGCAGGACCCGTTGGGCATGTACCCGAGTGTAGTGCAAGTGCTGCGGGCAAAGAACATTCAGGTCGAGGATGATATCAAGCTGCGTATGTTTCAGCCATATAGCAATACACACACGGCCTGTCTAACAGGCATACAGGCAACCGCTTCCTCTTGAGCTCCACTACCTTCTCGCCCTCTCTTTTCCTCTCGCAAGTCCACAATGAAGCCTCCACCGATTCCCTTCTCGCCGGCCTTGACTTTCTTTCCCGCTCAATCGAAAAGAAGTCAGCTTCGCTAAAAGTCCTCGTCGAATCCAACTTCGACCGCTTCGTAGGCGCCAAAGCTACCATCGACCGTGTATATAATGAGATGCGGGACCAAGGGAAGGAGCAGCCAGAGGCACCCAAGGCCTTACAGCCAGGCAGGGAGAGGAGCCGCTCGAGCTTCTCAGGCCGAAAGACCAGCGCATCTCTGCCACCCGCTATGCTGGATTCTGTGCCGACAGAGAAACGTAAGAATGCGCTTGTGAAGGAGAGCGAATACGGCGTGCATGGCATTAAGGTTCCTCTGACCGAAGTCGCCGTCAAAGCGGAAGAGGTCTGGGGCCCTGCACTGAACGGACGTGAAAGGGAAGAGACATTGAAGTCGATTATGGAGTCAGTGGAGCACCACCGCGGGCTATTCGAGGTTGGGTCAGCTATGCAAGACGCCATACGCCGGAAAGATCACGAGACAATCACCGAGGAATACAAGCGCGCACGAAAGTACGCAGAGGAAGCTCGGTATATCGTCGAACAGGCAACGTCTAACAAGACACAACTTACCGATGCCGAGATACACCAGGTCATCGTGACCGCTAGGATGTGGTCAGATGTCGAGCGACAGGTTGAGCGTTTCAAGCGCGACTCGTGGAAGCGCCTGACCACAGCTCATTTCACACACCTGCAGACCGGGACCGAAGAGACCAAGTCGGACGAATATCTGAGCATCATCTCTATCATGCTCGAGCTCGGTGTAGAAGATAACCCGATATGGGTATGGTTACTCTCACGCTACGAACACCTCAAGTTCCAGCTTACCTCCAAATGCCAACATGCGCTGGTTGAGATTGAGATTCTTCGTCGTCATCTGGCAAACGGCGAAAAGACGAGCCTGCGTATGCTACAAAAGCATCTCCGTTCGGTGCCCACTAGCAGCAACGTCAGCGCCGAACCTTCGAAGCTAGACACCCTAAAGGTGACCGAGTTCTGGGAACACGTGTATGCGTCGATGAGCACCTTGCTCTCAAATAAAAGTGGACTACTGGCTGAACTCGTTGAATACTGGGAGATTGTCCAGTCGTTCCTCTCTGGTCGCGCGCAACGGAACTTGCCCACAGGTCACCATGGCCAATCTTCTGTCCATCACCGTCTCAGCAGTGAGAATAAAGCTGAGCTTGAGAGAGGCACAACCGAACTCATCACTATTCTTCGGGACCACCTGGTCTCGTTTTTCTCGGACCCTCCTATAGAGGATGTTTCCTTGCTCATGTCGCCACTGCCTACGAGTCCGACACCAACAACACCGGGAACACCATTGAGTGCAGCGTTGAGTCCCAAGTCCGCAACTAGGTTCAGATTTGACCCTGCGAAAGCACCACCACCCTCTCCCAGTCGCGGAGAATCTTGGGAGAAGTATGCCTTCTGGCCTCCCAATGCGAATGCGCTTTCGGGATCTCACTATCTATCCAAGATGCTCGTGTTGATTAGCACTGCAGCCAACGAACTTGCTTCGTTGCAGGTTCCTGAGCCTGGAGGCAGCGGTCGCATTGATGAAGCCCTGCGAGCACTACTTGGCGGTGTACGAGAACGTTGCATCCAAGCTGTATGTGCAGCTTGGAACACTGATGCTGAGAAGTTGAAGGTGCTTGAAGACTGGACTCGTCACGTTGATCGCAAAGATACTACAAACCTGCCCCAGCGTTTCCTAGCAGTACAGAGCTTCCTGCTCAACAATCTGCAGAAGATCTTGTACGTTGAGGCATCGAGCAAAACGCGAGTGGACGTAGTTGTACCACCGAGCAACAAGTTGCTGCAGATGGTCAGAAGCCAGTTCGTCACCAGCTTATACAGGACGCTGAGTGGAATGGTCGAATGCGCTGAGAAAGGCAGGCAAGCTCTGGGTCCCGAATTCGAGATCAAGGGCGACGACCTTACTATCGACGAGCAAGATGACCAAAATGGTAACGACTTGGGTAGGGTCGACGCCAACAAGAAGGTAAGTCATCCCCGAGTCGACTATGTATCTTTTACTAACAAATCTCAGTCCATCCGCCTGCTTCTGACTCTCGCCAACATGGCTGCTTTCCAAACAGAGATAACCCCCCAGCTCCTCACCCTATTCGAGACACTCTTCAGCGTTCAACTCACAGACGAAACTAACCGCATTCGAGACGTTCTCTCTCAACTGGATGCGCAGCTCTTCCGTTCCTACACCAAACCCCACGCCACGAAGATTCACAACACAATCGAATCAGGCATCTTCAGTCCAAACTGGGCGCCGGCCCCCGACGCGCGAAAGAGTGTTGCAGATCGCGACCCCAGTCCATACGTCTTCACCGTCCTTCTCGACCTCGTGATTGTGCACACGGAATCTTCGACAACGTCCGCACCGTTGACCCCCCGCATCCTGCGTGCACTGTTCGAGTCTACAACCAGCTCCCTTATCACTACTTTCCAGTCTCCTAATCTATCTTCAATTTCGCTCCTGCAACTTATGCAAGCCACGCTCGACGTGGAATTTATGGCGCAAACGCTCGCTTCGTATACCACGGAGAAGGCATCACAGATCCAGACCGATATCTACCAAGTCCTGGACCAGAAGACAGACAACGCGGCCAGAGTGCGGCTGCAGGATGAACTGGGTAGTCTGAGAGTCAGTCTCAAGAGGCTGAGAGAGGGGACAAAGGTGCAGTTTGCCTGCTTCAGGAGGGTCAAGAGGGGTACGCTCGCTGGTGGTGCACCAGGCCAGGAAGGTGAGCAGAGGGGGAGGTAGAATCGCTTCTTGAAGGGTAGTCTAAGTATCTTGAGTGTAAATGTCTTGTTGTTCGCAAATCTATCGATTCAGAATGCGCATAAAGCGGCCATGTTTGTACAAAGAACGCCGCTGATGCATCTATGTCCTATTCTCGTTCCATACTCCGTTCCCTTTATTGTTACAAGTCGTACAATATTGTTATACATCCTCAGACCCCGCGAAGGGATGTTGCTCGAAATACCGCAACAGCGTTTGGTAAAGTACCAACATGGTTCCCGACTGTACACTTGTCCAGACCGCACGCGGTCCGACGCCTCTGAACCACCCAGCAATTCCTTCCGTTCTGTATATGATCTTCAAGCCTGTCATGACAGACGAGGTATCGAGGGTGGCGGCGCCGTGGGCTTTTAGTGTTGTGGAAGGGGAGGATGTGGAGATGGGTCGACTTTGAGTCGATGGTGGCTTGGCTGTTTGCGATGAGGTGGAGTGTTTCGAGGCCGCGGCGGGCGACAGCGAGGCTTTGGGCGCGATTGGAGACGCAGGAGGTGGGCCGTTGTGTTGCGTCTGAATGCGCGTCTTGACTACATCTAGGGGAGTTGTGATGACGCCTGCCATGCCACCCGCGGTCCCTGCGGTTATAATCTCGAGCGGCAGGCCGATGTTATTTGAGCCCATGTACCTCTTTGCCCAATCCCGCTCTTCCTCGTAAAAGGCAAATTGTAATGCTGAGAAAGGCAGATCACGCCAGAGCGTTGCCTTGTAGCCATGGAAAAGGGCGCTGTAACCTTCAGTCCTAGCTATTGTTCGGGCAGCGTCAACGGTGCCGCGGTAGTTGTAGCCTGAGTTGAAGTAGGGGTTGTTGTAGCGGCCCTGTAATTGCAGACGTGTCTTGAGGACTTCGGATGGAACGTATGCGGGTGCAGCAGCGAGGTCGGCGAGGAGACCTGGGAAATGTCAGTATGGAGATAAATCCGAGTAATTTGGGGAAGGTGTACCGGCTGAGAAGTATGCGACCGAAGGCGCAACCCCATAGTCAATCATGGTTCGCTTTGTCCACTCATAAGCCCCAAAGAAGCACACTGTGCCTGCAAAAGACCCGAGGAACGCTGGCTGAACCCCGCCATATAAGCCCTTCCGAAAGCCTTCTTGCCGCCATATGGTGTAATATGTGTTGCCCATGGATGTGTACTTTGGAGGCATGTGCGGGTCGCCCTGCTGTCGCGTCTTGACAGTGTCCAGTGAATGCATCAACATGTCACCCGTCGTTCCTCCTATTCCTCCTGCCAGCATTGCCTGTTTGTGATCAATTGGCATCCCTCATCTCTGCAGACTAGGCATCCTCACATGTAGGTATGGCGGCCGCGCTGCTTCCTCATCTATCTCGTCGTCCATTGCTCCCCGCTTGGTATCCTCCATGGGAAGTTCCACTGCGTGTGCTGTGCTTGCGACATTTCTCCGGCTACCGTCGGTCAGGTTGGTGGTAGAGTCTCCGTTTGTGAGGAAGTTGGCCACGCGGGCAAGTACCATGAGCGCTTCGATGGTAGTGGTGAATACAGAGGAATTGCAGTGTGTGGTAGTCAAAGAGGACCGAGTATGGAGAAGGATTCAATGTGCAAGGGTATACTTCAAAGAGTGACGTTGCTGCCTCTGCGGCCGTGCGATGATGTTCAATCTGGAAAATTTCGGCCAAGACCGGGACCGCGCAGCCCACATCCCTGCAAGCCCTGGCTATCTGCTATCAAAAGCACGGGGACCAGACGACGGCTTGATGCAGTTAAGACTACCTCAACTATCTCTACGCGAATGCTCCCAAGACACCGACAACACATCTGTCTTGCCCCAGAGACAACATGGTGTTGTTGTAGATCAATATATAATCTAGGCTAAGCCCTGCGACATTTAGCGCCTACTGATGACCCACGTGAGCCCCAGCCATCGTGTTTACATCTCAAGTCTCTCTGCATCCGATCAACACCACACCGCCCCCCACCTTTTTTCGCCCACGACGCATTTTCTGCTTGAATTTTTGCTCCATTCTGATCGCACGCGTTACGCGACTTGATCTATATCACTCACAATGTCCCATTCGTGGCTTCAGAGGAAGCGCAAAGCTGATTTGATTGACCTTGCGCAGAAGGCTAGACTTCCCGAGTAGGCTAGGAAATAATCTTGCGCATGCATCGGAGCACTGACGAGTGGTTTGCAGTGCCGACGGCTATCTGAAAGACGATCTCGTGCAGATTCTTGAAAACCATCTCAACTCCAACGAGGGCATTTTTGCCAAACTTCCCGAGTTTCGCGACTACTATGGCCGAAATGGATCGCCGATAAAGCGCGAACAGTCTTCGCCGGCAGAGCCGTTGACAGCTACCAAAACGACGCGTCGTCGAACTCTTAACAAGGAAGTCTCGTATGTCGAACCTGAATACGCGTCGCGTCACGCGTCGAGGCTAATATGCGCGCAGCCCAGAGTCTACTCCCATCACCACGTCTACCCCCGCCATTACGCCTGAGATTCGCAGCGTTGTGGCGCGTACGCCAAAGCCGAGAGCTGTCTCTCGTCGTGTTTCTGAGATTGTTTCTGAAGTCGAACCCCAAGCCAAAGTCGTTTCGCGCCGCGTTTCCGGAGTGCTCTCTGAAGCCACACCGAAAGCCGTCTCTCGTCGCGTTTCTGAAGTGTTCAATCAAGTCGACATTCCAGCATCACCTGCCCAATTGGCTGAGGTCGCAGACCAGTCTTTCCAAGAAATCCAGACCAAGGCTGGTGAGCTATGGGACAGGACTCGGATCGATGAGCTTAAGGAATTTATTCGCGAAAACGCAAGCTCGGTGGCTACAATCCAGACAATCATCCTGCTTGTGGAAGCTGTAGGACTGCAGTGGAACACACTCGACACAACCCCATTATTCGCCACACCCCCTGCCCTCAGCTCATACTCCAACAGCCAAGACGTCCGAGGACCAAACCTCTATGCGCTCCTCTCGGCTGAGTGGTGGTCACCAGCCACTCTCTGGTCGCTCACTAGCTGGGTGCTACCGCTCATGTTCTCATACTTCTTCAACCTGACTCTTCGCACAAACACCTCGCGCAAGTCTTCGGACCGTCAATATCCTGCTGATCCCCTCATCTTTAACATTGCGCGAGCAATCTTGTCATACAGCGCCTACCGAGAGACTGTCAACATGGCATTCGCACCTAGTGCCTGGGGTCCCTTCTCCGAGTATGCTGTTGCGCGTGTGGGGAACAATGTGCCAGGAGGATACTACGGGCTGCAAATTGGCTCGCTAGTTGGCATACTTGTCAGTCTATACGACGCTGCACTGAAGAAGTAGGCGCTGGCTGGTCTAGACAATGAATATCAACTACCTACGTGCGCAATAGTCTGGTGATACTTGTGTGCTCAACGGCGTTTGGATACACTATACCTTGGATCTTGGGGATGCAACCGCCCTGTATCTGGATGCAGAGGCCAGGACAGGCGTTGAGGGCCGGGAACGAAGAGCTCGCTGGGCATCCTGGGATAACTCGTTGCCTAATTTATTCTTTATTCAATGAACCAATACCGACTTGAATTGACCTCTGGAAAGCAGCGACCACGAGCCACTTGGACACCTCGGCTGTCGCGAGATCCAAGACCCTGAAACTTGTGTGGGGACGGTCGCGCCTGCTATCGATAGCTCCAAGCGCGAAAAGACCACGCCATCACCCCTCTTCCGCTTCTGACATTGAGCAACTCAATACTGCCTAACCTGATTGTTCCACATACACTTGCTTTGTCCACATATCCCAATCGAACTACTTACGAGATGTCGGCCAAATTCATGCAGATGTTGCAGAATATGCAGCAGCGATCGAACCGGTATCTAGCACAAGGCACCATTTGAACGCGCATTGAATTACTAACGCATAGATTTAAGGACTGTGGAAGACATGCGAAACTCTGATGACAAGCTCGCGGGTATGGACGGTATGGAGCTTCGTGGATGGACCCAACAGAATCCTACAGTGCCGAGCCGCGACCTCACAGATCCAGTCGGGCAGACCATTCTTGCTGTATTCAACAAAGAATTTGATGCGCTTCAGAATTACTGCGAAATGATGATCAAGCAACTCGGAGGAACCGAGGAAGCTCGCGAGACTGTCAGACAAGATGTATATTCGAAAAAATGGGGTCCCACCAAAACGCCCATCTACTCAGTCCTATTGCCAGCGCTACATATGCTCCCCAACAACAAGCAAGATCTTTTAGGCGTTGTCAGATATCTAGTCAACGATCTCAAAGTACCAGTCGACGGAAGAGATGTCGTGGGCAGCACAGCACTCTTCTGGGCAATCTCAACCAAACCCTACGTACAACCAGAATTCGCCCAAATTCTCTTCGATGCCGGGGGTTCTGTCAACACTAAGAACCGTTTTGATGCCACGCCGGGTGCCGAAATTGCGCAAGCCGACATCCACGGCGACACGACCAAGAACGTGCAGATGATGAAGTGGTACATTGAGCATGGCGGAGACGTCGTTGCTAAAGACACAGATGGAATGAACATCAAGACCATAGTCGAAATGATGGGTCAAAAGGTGCCGGCTATGACCGAGGTTCTGAAGAACGGACATGGCCCAAGGAAAGAGGGAGATTGCACTAATTGTGGGAGGAGCCCGAAGGAGGGCAAGCCCTTTCCGGCATGTGCAAGCTGTAAAAACGCGAGGTATTGCTCGCAGGAATGTCAAAAGGTGGATTGGAGGATGCACAAGAAGACATGCAAGGCTTCGTAGAGTGTATGGAACGACAGCAGAGGCGAGAACAGACAACGCTCGAGCATTCCGCTCCTTTGCGCGCGTGAGGCAGAGGCAATAGCTATGCGTACGAAGGAGCTTGTATATTTTGAGTTATATCTCTAGAGCAGATACTCAACAAAAATAGAGATAATTTCCTCCGTTAAAAGCTCATTAAGATAGTGGCGATATATATGCTTAGGGTACAAATCAACAACAACGAGCTTCTTCATTGCGAAGCGTTAGATCTCGACGTCTATGGCTACGGAGAAGAGGTACCCTCTCGAAGACGGTCGCGGAAAGCAGTTCAGAATGACAGTAATTCTGCCAAATACAGGCGGTTAAAGCCACAACAAGACAAGTTGTGTGGTACCAGGCTTGCAGCTTCTATCAAGCACTGCATGTAGTCGGAAAGTGGGGCATTGGGAGGCGCTAGCATGCATGCAGTATGATGACTACGTCACGCGTAATGATCTGACCGCCATCCTTAAACTCATGTATCCTTGTCCAAACATTCTTTAGCTGGTGATCACTGTTTTCTCGAAAGGTTTCTGGGTTGTAACAGAATTACTCAAGATGCGATTGAATCCGAATGGCGACGCGTCGACCTTCCCCAAACGTTCAGCCTTGCCACACATTGCTGGCACACCAAAGGACAATGCTTGGTTTTGGGTGAGACTTCTCTTTCACAAACTTCGCATAGAAGATGTGCTAACCTTATCTACCAATATCTCAGGGCGGCCACGACGAACTTGGTCGATTAAACCTCCTCACTCCACAGCGAATAGCAAAAACGACACAAGAAAGTGTTAAAACGGGAGAATCAGTATCACTGGATTTGCCATTGAACATTCCGGGCCCAGCCTTCTTTGGACGAAAAGGATTAAAACATAGCATCAAGAACATAGCCCCTGGCGCTTTCGATGATGAACTAGCATTCAACACGCAGAGCAGTAGCCAGTGGGATGGCTTCCGCCATTTCGCGCATCCAATATATAACTGCCATTACAACGGCGTTATCTCTGACGAAATCATGGCCGATTTGGACAACGATGGAGAAGACGGCGAAGCAGCACCTGAGCGCTCAAGAAAACTCGGTATCGATGCCTGGGCTAAGAAAGGCATCATAGGCCGTGGTATCCTCCTGGATGTATACTCTTGGGTCCAGAAGTCAGGCAAGGCATATGATCCTTTCACCAAACACTCCATAACAGCCGATGATCTTCGTGCATGCGCGGAGTCTCAGGGCACGTCGTTTCAAACAGGTGACATACTCCTAATACGCACAGGATGGCTCTCAACATATAATGCTCTCTCTACTGCCCAGAAATCCGATCGCAGCACCATGCCACTAGATCAACACTTTTACGCCGGTCTTGATGCCACAGATTCCATGAAGGACTTCTTATATGACAACTACTTTGCGGCTGCTGCGACGGATAACGCGAATTTTGAGGTTTGGCCACCAGAGAGCTGGGAGGGGAGTCTACATGCAAGTATGCTTAGCATGTGGGGCATGCCGATTGGAGAGCTTTGGAATCTCGAGACGCTGGCAGAAATGTGTCGGGAGAAGGGGAGGTGGGAGTTTTTGGTTGTCAGTAAGCCGGTTGACGTACCTGGGGGTGTTGGGAGCTTACCGAATGCGGTTGCGATATTCTGAGGAGGGGGGTACAGGTTACAGGAGGGATATTGATGACATGTTGTATAGATATCCCAATAGGAGATTAATGACTTTCTAATGCGTCAGTAGTGTTGGTGTGGTAGTCACAATGGTAGTGCTTCGAACGTCGTTGGATCTGTGCGGTATTCTCAACCTTGTTGGTGACACAGCTTACAATGACGGCTGAAGGCCCTCACACAATACCTTGTTGAATGACACAATGATAAACGCCTTTCGTAGACGGCACGCATGCATTAGCGATAGCCTGCCGCCCGGGATTTCATGTGCCAGAGTTTACTCCAATAACACCGGTACGCGGTTAGCGTCGTAATTGGTAGCTGCGTAGCAGTGGGCCACTCGGGCCAACAGTTCCCGCTCTTGGGGTAAACTCAAGACAGTGGCTGTTTTCTTTTACCAGACCTAAGCTTTTCCGGTCGTGATGATGGTACCGGGTGCGAGCATGTAAAGCTGAATCTTACCTGGATTTTTTTCGAGACTAGAAACTAATTCGATCACATCAGTAAGTTTGGTATACAAGTGAAGAGCACTATTTGGCATGTCCTACAAGTTTTCCATAGCCAAAAATTGACTTTGGAGCTGTATGAGCCATAGAACCATTGGCATCACCTTGGCAGTCATGATTATGTGGATACCCATTGACGATCATAGCAGGAGACTCGATGGTCAGGTAAAGGATGATCATGGAATTGAGTAAAAACCTACATGGTAAGAGGCATACTCTGAGTATGAGTGGGTAGTGAAACAGAGCGAGACAGCTTCTATATAGATTTATCCCATACTGTTGCCCTGTATGTACTCACTGGTGGGCTAGCAGCCTGTAATGCTATATGCTATGTCTGTGGGTCATACTAAACGTGTTGCTTAGCTCAAGTAACGACCATGTCTCCCGTAGCGTCACCCCACAAATTGTCATCGCTGAGGAGTTGTGTTGTGTGAATGACAGTATGGGGTTTCAATATACGGTGACTCCAAGACCAGTACAAAAGAAGCCCGTTGTCTGCTTTGAGGATGCAAAACAAGGTTAGCTGTCTACTGTCTACGAAGAGTACCTACCCCAAATTCAAAAAAACACAACGAAGCCCTGAAAAGATCAGTTCTTGCTATCAATCAAAGACCCAGCAAGTTTTCCATTGATTCATCTGAGACTCTCCGACCATGTCAGGCTCGGATAGAACCCTCCCACCTCTCCCAAATCATCCACGTACTCAGTATACGACGACCACCTATCCACTCGATAGACCAGTCAAAGAATGGAAATGCTACAACCCTGGCAAGGTCTATGCCGAGAATTGTTACATTACAGGCAAGAAAGTTCATGGGGGTGTACACATCAACACGGGCTATCGGACACATTGCCATGTGTGTGGTCATCCACGCTGCGAGAAGAAAGCAGGAGGTTGTGAGATCGTCGACGCCGTTTATCGAGATGTCTGATGTGGAATAAGGACAAGTGAAAGGCAAATGGGTGCTTCTTATAGTCGGTATTGGCGTAAATAGATGTTTGAAAATCCTGACCAGAGTCATTCTTTACTGAACGCTATCGGGTTTGAAGGTTTGTGCAGATTATGTGGACTGCCCGTGTTACACTTCCTGTACCTATATTTGAGCACAGGGTTTTGCGGGAGAAAAGTGCAATCTTGATAGGTTTACAGGACGAACGCTTGATCCGGTAACACCGCCATTAAGTCACGGATTGAGGTGATTGGACTTAGCCGAAGTGGGAATGGTGAGCATGTCGACCTGAAAGTCACTGTACAAAAGCGAAAAGTGTTAGCGAGCAGAGTCCCGGAAGAACTGCAAAGGCATATATCCAGAAGACCGATAGGTTTAGGCGATGGTGTATGGAATTGGAAACTAGCAAGAACTGGCGCTACTGAGTAGGCTAGCTGTGGGGAAATGGCCTTCGAACACGCGAACCGAACGCGACCTCGAAACCTTCTAGAGAGCACCACCGACGCGACGGCGCCCGAAAAGGCACTCTGCGTCAACCCCTTTTCACTCATGGTCACTTTCTTCGACGCGTTATCATTTCCCTCATTGCATTCTGAGTCAAAGGCTCTTGTGCGTGTCGCTGCCCCCTTCGTTCTACAGCACTACGTCATCGACTGTCGCGTTTGAACACTGAGTTCCGAGCCTTTCTATCCTCCACAGACACAATAACATCCTGCCGCATCATCACACCTTCTTGCTCATCCGGAACAAATAGGCTCGACGTGCTGGCATGTTCGTCGGTAGTTGCCCCCATTGTGAGCGACTGCCAATCGGGATGCAAATGCCTGCACGGTGTTTTCCTTCTTTTCTCTGTCCCTTTCGATGACACGGTCACTGTAAAGTCTCCCAGGTCAGAAGGCACCAGTTTCGGATTCGTACTACGCGAATCTTGCCAGGTTGAAGATTTGCGAGAGACCGAGAGTTCAGTGCCTTGGATCTCCGGATATACCAGACCGCTGCCACCAACGCCAATGATGCGCTTGATTCGTGGAACGCTTGCGAGTATTAGGGAGAGACTGGACACAGATCTGGGTACCCGTAAGCTTTGGAAACAGTCGCATGGATTAAACTTACTGAGTCAGGACGATAAGCTCGACTGCATCGCCTGCGTCTCGTCAGATTCCCAGCGCTCGGTGCCTGTCAAGATTACTTACGCGTGGGATTTTGACTAGAAGCTAACCTCAAAGTGGCCCATATTTCACCTCCAGCAACGAATGCTACACTGCAGAGTCAAAACCGCGACGTATTGGAGAGCAGCTGATCGGACGTACATTGCTCGAACACCGAAGAGCATCGCCGCTGCGAAGCTTTTCTCTTTGTCCAACGACAACTTCCAGAGGACCGGAATCATCCAAAAAGCCAGGAAAAGGTCTGTAGTCATGTTGAGTCCTATGACTGCGATCGAAAGGCCACCATTACTACATCGTAGCGAATGTGCAGTCCAACTCGGGATTCCGCATTGAAAAGAGATGGCAAAAATCGAGAATATCGCAAAGATCGTAATCATGCCGAATAGTATAATCTTGGCTCTTCGGGTTTGTGGGACGACGCGTTCGATGAGCAAAGCAGACGACAGCTTTGCGAATACCATCGCAAAGATTACGAGTATCCCGGCAATGTAGGATGCCTATAATCGCTGATTAGTATTGAAGAGCAATTGGCGACGGAGCGGTCAACCTTGAAGAACAAAGAGATGTTCTCGTCACTGAGATCTTTCACGTCCTTTCCTAAGCCACCGCGAATGGTGTATTGCCAACCAACAGTCGCGCCTAGATACACAATCTATGGCGAGGTCAGTATTGTTCGTTCTCTGGAGAATTGGACTGTCCTACAGTCGCCGCAATGATTGCTACGTCGTCAAGACCGGCTTCGACCTTTTGGCTACGACTCTGCCAGAACCGCGCGACCAGCACGCCTGCTGTTACGATCGCCCATGCATAGGTGGAGACGAGGATGAAGCCACCCCTTGTCGTTGTAGCGATGCCACGACCTTCATCCGAACCTGTGGGTACCATCGTGTAAAACTGACAAAATAGTAACGAACATGGAGCCGTGTGGGAACCGACTACGGGGAAACAGTATAGATTATGCTAATCGTTGAAGTATACGTGGAAATCGGATCCGAGGAATGCGCAGCCTATGCTGACCGTTGTAGTATACATCCCGCACGGCTCCGTCTCACTTTCATCGCACCGACTCTCAGCCACGCACTCGGACAGATTTTGGGTACGTATTTGAGACTATTAACCCAAAAGTATAACCCATGGTTGGGCTTCCAACACGAGCCGTTTGAAGGAGGAATATCATTGGTGTGTTTCCATGTTCTTTGAATCCGCCGCATGCTTACTGTCTGTGCATATGCATAGCGGCTAACCCGTTTTCTGCAATCCTCATGTCTATCCGTTGCGCATACCCAGGCCGTACCTCGCTAAAGCGCCTGCTGACGACTCCAACATCACAATCTGCGCGAGGCGTGTCCCAAAGCAGTGTATCCCTTCTCGTTGAGAGATTATAGCCTCACTGTTGGAAGACGAGATCTTGTCCCAGATGGCGTGGGTCCTTCGCCTAGGTAAGCTTGATGGCAATTAGTGAAGCGGAACAGTTCGCTCAACCCTATCTCGATTACTTGTAGATCAGCCCGAGTCGGTGGTATCGCGTACGGACCCCGCAGCACGTTACGTGCAAAAGGAGCCAAATTGCCGTTATTCGCTCCGGACACCATGCGGGCGGCCCCGGGCCCACGCGAGCCTATTTGCTGGAGCAAATATAAATCCCGCGCCCATGCGACGAACGACACGAACATGCCCTTATGAGACGCGTGCCGCGTCGGATTTAGCCTTTTGAGTGTAGCGATGCCGGAAGACTGACCCATAACAGGAACGGGTCATTAATTGAGCTTGATAACATACCCTGCATATATTATCAGGCCCATTCATAGCTGCTCTGGCTAGACAACCCAGTGGATGGGTTACCAATCATTATGACCTGTTGTGTAACGTAGCTCAGCGTCCCTGGTGGACACTTTGCAACGTCTTCTCTTTTCTCCGCAGTTCCGCACGTTGCACACTGACCACTGACCACCGATTTGGGCCCTTTGTGTGCCAGCATGGAGCTCAGCACCTACAAGCCGGATGCTGACCTCGATGTCGCAGAGCGAGGATCCGATCAGAGTGAGAAACTTGGAGTAACTCCCCCAAATGCGCCTGTAGGAGGACGGACGGCAAACCAGCTCGAAGTAAGTATCATATGATCTGCTTGGCCAAGGAGCGTCATTGACGAAAATAGAGGTACATAAATCTTTCTGCTGTGATTAATTTCGCCGTTATCATTCTCGCTTCATGGGAGTCATTTGCAGTGACCTTTCAATTCGCCCTGACCAACGGTGGCCCAGCCTCTATCTTTTACGGCAGTATCTTGGCTGGTATCGGCGCTTGTGCTGTCGGTTTCTCGCTGGCAGAGCTAGCTTCGATGTATGTCTCTACCAACAG